ACTGGGAAGTAGTTTGTGCAAGATGTGTAGTACACAGTAGTACTGGGAAGTGCTTTGTGCAAGCTTTGTAGTACACAGTAGTACTGGGAAGTAGTTGTTGCAAGCTTTGTAGTACACAGTAGTACTGGGAAGTGCTTTGTGCAAGCTTTGTAGTACAAAGTAGTACTGGGAAGTGCTTTGTATAGTGTGGAGTGGGGAGTGTAGAGCGTGTAGAGTGTGGAATGTGTAGTGTAGATTGTAAAAAGTAAGAGTGTAAAGTGTAGAGTGTGGAGTGTGGAGTGTATAGTGTAGTGTAGAGTGTGGAGTGCAAAGTGTGGAGTGTGGAGTGTAAAGTGTTGAGTGTGGAGTGTAAAGTGTGGCGTGTGGAATGTAAAGTGTGGAGTGTGGAGTGAGGAGTGTGGTGGGTGTAGAGTGTAGAACGTGGTGGAGTGTGGCGTGTGGAGTGTGGAGTGTGGAGTGTAGTGTGTGGAGTGAGGAGTGAGGAGTGTGGAGTGTAAAGTGTTGAGTGTGGAGTGAGGAGTGTAAAGTGTAAAGTGTGGAGTGTAAACTGTAGAGTGTGGAGTGGAAAGTGGCGAGTGTGGAGTGTAAAGTGTGGCGTGTGGAATGTAAAGTGTGGAGTGTGGAGTGAGGAGTGTGGTGGGTGTAGAGTGTTGAGTGTCGTGGAGTGTGGAGTGTAGAGCGTGGAGTGAGGAGTGAGGAGTGTAAAGTGTAAAGTGTGGAGCCTGGAGTATAAAGTGTAGAGTGTGGAGTGCGGAGCGGAAAGTGTCGAGTGTGAAGTGTAGAGTGTCAAGTTAAGTGTAGAGTGTAAAGTGTAGAGTGTAAAGTGTAGAGTGTGGAGTGTGGAGTGTAAAGTGTAGTGTGCAGAGTGTGGAGTGTAAAGTGTGGAGTGTGGAGTGTGCAGTGGGTAAAGTGTGGAGTGTGGCAGGTGGTGGTGATCTCGTTGTGCTGGTGATGTTGTTGTGTTGGTGATTTTGTTGTGATTTCATTGCGCTGGTGATATTGTTGTGCTGGTTGTGATTTCGTTGTGCTTGTGGTGATGTTGTTGTGCTGGTTAGTTGTCTCTTTGTGAACCGCACGATGCATGCAAACAAAGGTTCGTTTTCCTATTGCAGAGGTTTGCACTCGTAGTCCAAGAACGTGAATACATTCGGGTTCGTGGCTTCCATCTTGTTTCTTTTTTAAACCAATGAATTAGTAGTTGGATGGAGCTGTAATAGGAAATTGTGGATTCTGCACTTGTCTCAAAATCTCAGGCCTCCAACAAAGCACCAGAGATGGCTACAACTTGCAGATACGACTGTTGCTTATATCACTTATATCCCACCCCAAGCAGTTCAGACATACACAAGTATCAGGGTGTTGGTTACATCCGAAAATATCCGTAGGTTGGCCCCATGGTACTTCCACAGGCAACATATGTGCCATGGTCGATGGAGAGATGGTCCATGGTCATCCCACCTCCAAAGTTACCCGGCCTGGTAAACATACAAAAAGCTATGGAAAATGGCCCATTTATAGATGGTTTACCTATTAAGAATGGTGATTTTCTATAAATATGTTAAACTACTAGAGGGTATGGGAAAAGACACCATTTGATGATAGTTGGCTATTAGCTCCGATTGGGTCCCCACGAAAAATTCCTCTTAAATTCCCTATTCCCCAGTTTTTGCACCCCCAGATGCTTTCGTGGGGATACAATGGACCAGTTCTTACAACCAGCTGATGCGGATATGTATCTTTACTATTTTATATACCCTCTGGTAAACGTTTACATAGCTATGGAACATCACCATTTTTAATGGGAAAATCCATTATAAATGGCCATTTTCAATAGCAAACTGTTAAATTACCAGAGGGTAACTTAACCTTTTGACTCCCATAACTTTGTTGGTTAATTCACCCATCTATCCCATGTATTGACCAGCTCCTACGGCGGGTAGGTAGCGATGCCTTTGGCACTGCCCACCGTGGACACAGCTCGATGGTGGGAGAGGTGTGGAGTGGAACCCCATTTTTTTCGGCTCTGATGGAAGTGGCTTTGGAGCACAGATGTCCAAGCTTCATGAATTTTTGGTCCAAACTTCAAGAAATCGCCATTCGATCTAATTTGGCTCCAGGCTTAGTGTGTATTATTTGTGAAAAAAACTTGTAAGCTGACGCGTTTCTCTCATTCTTTTCAAATTTCGAATGGTCTGGTGAGGTTTTTCCCGGATCCAATTGTCACCAATGATTGCTTTTCCCAATGGCTCTATAGCTTTAAAAACCTCATTTCAAAACTGACGATGGAGTTCAATACAATTGTACACCATTTTCCAAGATTGGTTTCTACCTTCTAATCCCATGGTTTCTTCCGCCATGTTTTTTCCCCCTTTTTCGGCGGCTTCGGGTCGCCGTCCAAGAAAATAGACCTGGACCAGGGCTATGCGGTGAAGTGCTCGGGCTTCCTCGTGGCCAAGGACTGGATGCTCCCAAAAAGAAGATGATTAGTAATATCCATATAAATTAATGGTAATACATAGTAATATCCATATTAGTACCATAGCTACTATGGATATTACATTACCAAAGGACAAGATTACTCTCTGGTAAACTACCATAGCTATTGAAAATGGTCATTTATAGTGGATTTACCCATTAAAAATTGTGATTTTCCATAGTTATGTTAGTTTACCAGAGGGTAATCATGGTTTCATCCAGTTTAGTAATCCAATATAATGTAACTCCCACTAAGAATAAGATGATTAGTAATCCAATATATTAGTAACTCCCACAGTTATATTCCTAAAGCTGATATATTAAAATGGATAATACCGTAACATTATATAACATGGATATTCCATCATATTTCTCTATATATTCCTAAAACTGACTATGGAACTCATGGTATAGGAACACGATATTAAAATAATATAGGAATATGAGGTATATGTTACTGGTTATCTTACTCCTAATATATCAGTAGCAAATTCCATCCTATTCCTATAATAGATAGCAATATCCATACTAGGCGAGAGGCTAAGAAGATGATCGGTGTTTCCTAATGGGATGTTATTGCTTAGGAAGCTACTGATATATATATATATGTATACGTATATATGTATATGATATATCTATATGAAAAATATCGAAGTGTTACTAATTGTACTAATATAGATATGATATATGTTACTGTACTGTTTCCTAATATGTTACTGATCATATATGAGGAAAAAAACTGATATATCAGGATGTTCCCTTAAACTATTCATGTGGCTGCACGGCTTAGTTATTTTCTAGGTGTCAGGTTTCTTTTGGTGTCTTTTTGGTGGGCCAGGTACAATAAATCATCCAGTGTTTGACACCCATTAAATTAACATAGACCCTGGTAGGGATGGGGTTGGAAGTCTAGTTCCCACTCAAAATAGGTGATTTTCAGGGTCTATGTTTATTTACCAGAGGGTAATTTATGATATGATCAACTGGGTGATGTTTCTTGCCATGTTTAACACAAATCTAATACGAATCTATAGGACAAATCACAAATTGGCTGGTCGGATCAACAAATGAATAGAGGAATAGCCATTCACCAACCATGCACCAATTGTTGATTTTTTGTTCCTCAGCAAACTGATGCGAATTGGATATGTTATGACACCAAGATATTGATGCGGATAGGCCAATGACAAGGTACCCTCAAGCCCTCAACAACAAATTGAGCAGACCTGCTGGTTGATGATTAGTCCGGTAAGTATACTATCCTTTACACAGTGGGAATTTTCATCATTACATGAACTGAAAATCCCTTTTGAAAGCCAGCCACTACAACGGAATGACAGGTTCTTGTCATCAATATCCCCATGTTGTTGGTTATATTCCCGCACATATCCACCGTCATATCCCCATTATTCCTGGTTTTTGTTTAACAAATCATTAAGATGGTAAGCACCAGGAATAGTGGGGACATATGAGGAACATAGCTTCCATAGGCCAATAACAAATCATTTGGCTTTTGTTTCCGAAAATCACCGTTTGACAACAGCTAAATCCATGGGAAACCTGGGCCATAGCGGATCAGGAGCTGGAGGCCTTCGCACAGGTTCTGGATGCGCCAGTCCGCCCAGTCTGTGCCATTCTGGGAGGAGCCAAGGTGGGGCTGCCGTCGGAGCAACCGGAAACATTGGAAACATATGGAAACATTGGAGACCTGGAAATTATGGGAAAAGATCATCGAACCATCCTGGAACTACTTTTTGGGATCTTTAAGGGGGTTACTATAGGTCAAGATGTAGAAAAAGAAACACTGGCGATTTCTTGGCGTTTGAGACTGAATATGGGCAAGATCTGCGAGTTTGGGGAGATTCATTTCATTGTTGTCCCAGGATTGGGCACCCGAATCCGTCCAATTTAGTGGGGAGAACGAAAGTGCCGGGCATCAACTGATTCGTTGGATCCTGCCCAGAACTGTTACAGCAGCATCCTGCTGCAGCCTGGGCAGGTCAGCGACAAGATCCAGCTGATTAAGAACATGCTGGACAAGGACCGGGCTGAAGTACAACTTTCTTGATGGATGATATCAAACTGGGTGAACAGTTAACTCCTATTTGTTCACAATCAATACGTAAGCGCTGATGACGCTTGGCATAGAATACCCGCCCTCCATGATTCCTGACATCATTGACTGGCATCTTTTTATCCTGAAGTAGCTTCCCAACGGAAACGCACGGGAGTCAGTTCTTGTTTTTGCCAAGGTAGAGGTGTAAGGCGATTCAGAGTTGATGACAAGGAAAAATCTGTAGCCTGCCAGACCTGCCAGCACTCTACAAGTGAGCCACCATTCTGGATGAGAGTTACAGGGCCTATAGCAGCACCCAAAAAGATGAAAAAGTACTCTGCCATTATTTAGCATGGCTTTTACCAACTCATATTTCTTTTTGGGGTTGGTATAGGTAGTATAGGTCCTTTGGCTTCATTGAAGAATTTGTTCCTCCCCGCAGGTAGATGCTATGATCATTGGAGGTGGCATGGCTTTCACCTTCATCAAGGCCATGGTTATGGCTTGGAATAACCATGAACAACCCATTTTTGGGCCTACGTTCAATGGCCATGTCATGGTCATTTTTTATGGTGATGTTTAGTACTTTTATATACTTTTATAGTAATTATTCAATAATTCCACCAGCCATTTTAAGGCGCAGAAAAACTTGACCCCCTCAACAGATCAAACCCAGCCAACTGCAGGGATAAATCGCGATCCAAAAAATAACACGGAGCAGAAAGATGAGTAGATAACTAGACACTTCACTGACATGTGTTTGACTGAAAACAGCGTAGCCAAGATTGGTTTACCATGATTGTTCACATTAAGATTGCCATAAAAGAGGACGCAGCTTTCCAGCATTTTTGGACCATCGGACCTGCTCGGAAAGGTGATTCGGGGCATCAGCATTGGCAACTCCCTCTTCGATGAGGTCAGGGATCCCAGGAATTTCCCCACAGCGATGTGTGCGATTTTTTACGCACATGAAAATTCAAGATGATACGTAGATTATGTAGATTATGTAGATGTATTAGACACAAAAAAACACAAGTTTTCGTGCTTCATGATTTATTTAAACGCAACATTTTTTTTTCCCAAAAGCATCTCCGATGCTTGGGTTCTCGTTTAGTTGCACTCACCGCGGGGGAGCGAGACTGAGTGTTCGACGGAGATGTGTTGGACGGAAGGAGGAAGGAAGGAAGGGACTGAAGGGACGGAAGGGAAGGAAGGGAAGGAAGGGAAGGAAGGGAAGGAAGGGAAGGAAGGGAAGGAAGGGAAGGAAGGAAGAAGGAAGGAAGAAGGAAGGAAGGGAAGGAAGAAGGAAGGAAGGGAAGGAAGGGAAGGAAGGGAAGGAAGGGAAGGAAGGGAAGGAAGGGAAGGAAGGGAAGGAAGGGAAGGAAGGGAAGGGAAAATAGCTTGGGGAAACTTCGCTGGGACGGAGCGAAGGAAGGGAAGGAAGGGAAGGAAGGGAAGGAAGGGAAGGAAGGGAAGGAAGGGAAGGAAGGGAGGAAGGAAGGGAGGAAAAGGAAGGAAGGAAAAGGAAGGAAGGAAAAGGAAGGAAGGAAAAGGAAGGAAGGAAAAGGAAGGAAGGAAAAGGAAGGAAGGAAAAGGAAGGAAGGAAAAGGAAGGAAGGAAAGGGAAGGAAGGGAAGGAAGAAGGAAGGAAGAAGGAAGGAAGGGAAGGAAGGGAAGGAAGGGAAGGAAGGGAAGGAAGGGAAGGAAGGGAAGGAAGGGAAGGAAGGGAAAATAGCTTGGGGAACTTCGCTGGGACGGAGCGAAGGAAGGGACGGAGCGAAGGAAGGGAAGAAAGGGAAGGAAGGGAAGGAAGGGAAGGAAGCCGTGGAAATAGGTTGGGGAAATAGCTTGGGGAAACTTCGCTGGGAGGGAGCGAGACCGGATGCTCGACGGGATGAAGCTGTGGAAATAGCTTGGGGAAACTGCGCTGGGAGGGAGCGAGACCGGATGCTCGACGGGATGAAGCCGTGGAAATAGCTTCGCTGGGGGAGCGAGACCGGATGCTCGACGGGATGAAGCCGTGGAAATAGCTTGGGAAAACTTCGCTGGGAGGGAGCGAGACCGGATGCTCGACGGGATGAAGCAGTGGAAATAGCTTGGGGAAACTTCGCTGGGAGGGAGCGAGACCGGATGCTGGACGGGATGAAGCCGTGGAAATAGCTTGGGGAAACTTCGCTGGGAGGGAGCGAGATCGGATGCTCGAAACGGGATGAAGCCGTGGAAATAGCTTGGGGAAACTGCGCTGGGAGGGAGCGAGACCGGATGCTCGACGGGATGAAGCCGTGGAAATAGCTTGGGGAAACTGCGCTGGGAGGGAGCGAGACCGGATGCTGGACGGGATAAAGCCGTGGAAATAGCTTGGGGAAATAGCTTGGGGAAACTTCGCTGGAGCGAGACCGGATGCTCGACGGGATGAAGCCATGGAAATCGCTTGGGGAAACTTCGCTGGGAGGGAGCGAGACCGGATGCTCGACGGGATGAAGCCGTGGAAATATAGAAATTTCGCTGGGACGGAGCGAGACCGGATGCTGGACGGGATGAAGCCGTGGAAATAGCTTGGGGAAACTTCGCTGGGAGGGAGCGAGACCGGATGCTCGGCGGGATGAAGCCGTGGAAATAGCTTGGGGAAACTTCGCTGGGAGGGAACGAGACCGGATGCTGGACGGGATGAAGCCGTGGAAATAGCTTGGGGAAATAGCTTGGGGAAACTTCGCTGGGAGGGAGCGGGACCGGATGCTCGACGGGATGAAGCCGTGGAAATCGCTTGGGGAAACTGCGCTGGGAAGGAGCGAGACCGGATGCTGGACGGGATGAAGCTTGGGGAAATAGCTTGGGGAAACTTCGCTGGGAGGGAGCGAGACCGGATGCTCGACGGGATGAAGCCGTGGAAATAGCTTGGGGAAATAGCTTGTGGAAACTGCGCTGGGAGGGAGCGAGACCGGATGCTCGACGGGATGAAGCCGTGGAAATAGCTTGGGGAAATTTTGCTGGGAGGGAGCGAGACCGGATGCTCGACGGGATGAAGCCGTGGAAATCGCTTGGGGAAACTTCGCTGGGAGGGAGCGAGACCGGATGCTCGACGGGATGAAGCTGTGGAAATAGCTTGGGGAAACTTCGCTGGGAGGGAGCGAGACCGGATGCTGGACGGGATGAAGCCGTGGAAATAGCTTGGGGAAACTTCGCTGGGAGGGAGCGAGACCGGATGCTGGACGGGATGAAGCCGTGGAAATAGCTTGGGAAATTTCGCTGGGAGGGAGCGAGACCGGATGCTGGACGGGATGAAGCCGTGGAAATAGCTTGGGGAAACTTCGCTGGGAGGGAGCGAGACCGGATGCTGGACGGGACAAAACCGTGGAAAATAGCTTGGGGAAACTTCGCTGGGAGGGAGCGAGACCGGATGCTGGACGGGATGAAGCCGTGGAAATAGCTTGGGGAAACTTCGCTGGGAGGGAGCGAGACCGGATGCTGGACGGGATGAAGCCGTGGAAATAGTGGAAAAATAGCTTGGGGGGAGGGGAAAAAACTTCGCTGGGAGGGAGCGAGACCGGATGCTGGACGGGACAAAACCGTGGAAAATAGCTTGGGGAAACTTCGCTGGGAGGGAGCGAGACCGGATGCTGGACGGGATGAAGCCGTGGAAATAGCTTGGGGAAACTTCGCTGGGAGGGAGCGAGACCGGATGCTGGACGGGATGAAGCCGTGGAAATAGCTTGGCGAAAACTTCGCTGGGAGGGAGCGAGACCGGATGCTGGACGGGATGAAGCCGTGGAAATAGCTTGGGGAAATTTCGCTGGGAGGGAGCGAGACCGGATGCTGGACGGGATGAAGCCGTGGAAATAGCTTGGGGAAACTTCGCTGGGAGGGAGCGAGACCGGATGCTGGACGGGATGAAGCCGTGGAAATAGCTTGGGGAAACTGCGCTGGGAAGGAGCGAGACCGGATGCTGGACGGGATGAAGCCGTGGAAATAGCTTGGGGAAACTTCGCTGGGAGGGAGCGAGACCGGATGCTCGACGGGATGAAGCCGTGGAAATAGCTTGGGGAAACTGCGCGGGGAGGGAGCGAGACCGGATGCTCGACGGGATGAAGCCGTGGAAATAGCTTGGGGAAATAGCTTGGGGAAACTTCGCTGGGAGGGAGCGAGACCGGATGCTCGACGGGATGAAGCCGTGGGAATAGCTTGGGGAAACTTCGCTGGGAGGGAGCGAGACCGGATGCTGGACGGGATGAAGCCGTGGAAATAGCTTGGGGAAACTTCGCTGGGAGGGAGCGAGACCGGATGCTGGACGGGACAAAAGCGTGGAAAATAGCTTGGGGAAACTTCGCTGGGAGGGAGCGAGACCGGATGCTGGACGGGACAAAACCGTGGAAAATAGCTTGGGGAAACTTCGCTGGGAGGGAGCGAGACCGGATGCTGGACGGGATGAAGCCGTGGAAATAGCTTGGGGAAATAGGGAAACTTCGCTGGGAGGGAGCGAGACCGGATGCTGGACGGGATGAAGCCGTGGAAATAGCTTGGGGAAACTTCGCTGGGAGGGAGCGAGACCGGATGCTGGACGGGATGAAGCCGTGGAAATAGCTTGGGGAAATAGCGCTGGAGGGAGCGAGACCGGATTGCTGGTGGACGGGGGAACAAAACCGTGGAAAATAGCTTGGGGAAACTTCAGCTGAGGACGGGCGGGAAACGAGGACGGATGCTGGACGGATGAAGCGGGAAAATAGCTTGGGGAAACTTGTGTTTTCGCTGGGAGGGAGCGAGACGGATTGCTGGACGGGATGAAGACGTTGGAAATAGCTTGGGGATAGGCGAAAAACTTTCGCTGGGAGGGAGGGGGACGGGGAGCGAGACCGGATGCTCGACGGGATGAAGCCGTGGAAATAGCTTGGGGAAACTGCGCTGGGAGGGAGCGAGGCCGGATGCTCGACGGGATGAAGCCGTGGAAATAGCTTGGGGAAACTTCGCTGGGAGGGAGCGAGACCGGATGCTCGACGGGATGAAGCCGTGGAAATAGCTTGGGGAAACTGCGCCGGGAGGGAGCGAGACCGGATGCTCGACGGGATGAAGCCGTGGAAATAGCTTGGGGAAACTGCGCTGGGAAGGAGCGAGACCGGATGCTGGACGGGATGAAGCCGTGGAAATAGCTTGGGGAAACTTCGCTGTGGGAGGGAGCGAGACCGGATGCTGGACGGGATGAAGCCGTGGAAATAGCTTGGGGAAACTTTGCTGGGAGGGAGCGAGACAGCACGCTGGACGGAGAGGAAACCGTGCAAATATACCTTGCGGAGAGCTTCGCTGGGAGGGAGCGAGACAGCATGCTGGACGGGACACAAAACAGTGGCAATAGCTTGCATTGAGCTTCGCTGGGAAGGAGCGCGACAGCATGCTGGACGGAGAGGAAATAACGTGCAAATAGCGTGTGGAGAGCTTCGCTGGCAGGGAGCGAGACATGCTGGACGGACAGGAAACGTTGGAAATAGCTTGCGGGGAGCTTTGCTGGGAGGAAGCGAGCCAGCATGCGGGACGGAGAGGGAACAGTGCAAATAGCTTGCGGAAAGCTTCGCCGGGAGGGAGCGAGACAGCATGCTGGACGGAGGGGAAACCGTGGAAATAGTTTGGGGAGAGCTTTGCTGGGAGGAAAGCGTGGAAATAGCTTGGGGAGATCTTCGGTCGGAGGGACCGAGACAGCACAGCTTTTGCACACAGAATCTTGTACACACAGACGCGTCGACCCACAGGAGGTTTTATACAAACAGACAACTTTACGGCGCACAGAACTTTTATATACATAGAGCAGCTTTTACGCAGCGAAGCTTGTACACACAGGACAAAGGGGAGCTTTTTTCTACACAGAAGCTTTTACATAGGGATTTTTTAATACACAGAAGCTTTTACACACAGAAACCTTTACACACAGAAGCTTTACACACAGAAACGTTTACGCACAGAAACTTTTACACAAGCCTTTACACAATGGAGCTTTTACACACAGACAGGTTTACACAGAGGAGTCTTTACGCACGGAGGTGTTTACACCACACAGAAGCGTTTACACAGAGTAGTTTTTACGCAGAGAAATCTTTACACAAAGAAATCTTGACACAGAGAAGCTTGCACACACACACAGAGGCTTTTACACAGAGAAGCCTTTTACACAGAGCAGCTTTTTCACCGAGGAGCTTTTACCCAGAGGAACTTTTACACAGAGAAGCTTGTACACTCAGAGGCTTTGACACAGAGAAGTCTCTTACACAGAGAAGCTTTTGCACACAGAAGTTTTACACAAACAAAATCTTAACACAGAGGAGCTTTTACATACAGAAGCATTTATGCAAAGAATCTTTTGTACAGAGAAGTCTTTACCCATTTTTCATCATGTCTCATTTTTCACTATCATTCACCACCTATCACCTTCATATCTTCGTTTTCATGCTCTTTTGGTCAGCTCCCTCCGTCGTTTAGTTTTCATTTTGCACGGTGTTCTGTCCGTCGACGCTTCGTCCTCGCTCCCTCTGCGGCGAAGCAAACTAAACGAGAACGCAGGAATTATAGCGGCTAAAAAGATGGGATAGAGTTAATTACATTAGCAGAAATAGCGACTAGAAGAATGTAGACGTAGCTGACACAGCATGCTGTGGTGAATTGCGGCCCCTGATACCATCAGCGCGCACGATGTTTCAGTAAAGATCTTACGTCGATTTCGTGCAGAGCACACACCACAAGATTTTCAAAAAAATCGTGCTGTGTGCCGTCTTGCTTTTGGGTTCTCTGGCCCACCTTGTTCTTCCGCACGTCAAAAAAAAAAACATTTGCGTCGAAGCGTTTCAGCCTTGCCAGGAAGGCTCCAAGATCGTTCCTGAGATCATGGCCAAGGCCAAGGAAAAGGGCGTCGCCCCTCAGCAGCAGCAAATCATGGGAACTTTTCGGCCAAGGTTTCGGCCAAGTCCACCGATTTCCACAGTCGGCTTTTGGTGAGTTCCCACAAAAAGCAGCCGATTTTCCCAGGAAATTGTACTGCCGATTGACTTTGTCTGTTCCTCCAAGTACGGCGAGGCGAGAAGCTCGCCGCTCCGACTGTGGCTGCAAGGGGGGATTAAAACATTTGTGGGTGTGACGATTTTAATCGCACGGAGGGTAGGAACATTGAAACCTGAATCTCCAACAATTTCCGTAAAAAACCATAGTTTCTGATGAAGAATGATCCACTATGATTTAAACTAGCAATAGTGAAAACAGTCTATTTCCCATGATTTTCCAATTATTGATGCTTTTCATGATTTTCCCATGATTTTCCCCATTTTTTCCCATGTTTTTCCAATTCTTGGTGGTGGTTGACACGTGGTGTCCAGGACGGCGAGATCAAGAACGCCACCGTCGAGACCGGCATCCCTGAGGGCACGCAGCCGGGGTTTTGAAACTACCCCAATGGTATAGAACCAGGATATGATGGTATAGTACCATTATTAATGATAATAGTTATTATATAGTTATTAATGATAATTAATGATATAGATGGCATAAGACTATTAATGATAAGCTGTTGGTTATAGCATCTATCATCATTATTAGTCTTTGAAACTACCAGGTTTCTATGGGAGACCAAACCAATGGGAAAAAGACATGGGTTTCGCAGCGAAGTCTTTTTCCTTTGGTTTTGAAACTAGCCCTTTGTTACAACAGGTTTCTATGATGATAGATGGGATTAACCAAACCAGGATCATAAACCATAGTGCAATGTGGGATAAAACCATATAGCGTTTCTATACTCATCAGATCAACATAGATAGTAATTTTGATGAGTTAATTTTTACACGAATCAATCATGGATAGCCAACAGTTAACATGTTTTTTTTTGGGGGTTAAAGCCCGATTTTTTTACACATTTTTTGGGATAAACCAACTGGCAATTTTTCCATCACCTGCCGCAGGCTTTATGGGTTGGTCGCCCCAGTGACGGGCTGGCAGACTGTTGACCACCCATGTTTCGTCATTCTGAAAAAAAAACAATGGTACTTTAGAAATATTTAACATAGCCATGGGAAATGGCCCATTTATAGAGGTTTACCTATTAAAAATGGTGATTTTCCATGGCAAACTGTTATATAAATAACCAGATGTGTAGAATTACTTTAGACCTCTGTGGATGCAAGAGCCATTGACTATCGATTGAGCCACGAACCGAACGCATCCCACGAATTGTCACCATGGTCATGGGAGTCGAGGCCTTGACTGTGGTCCAGAGACAAACAAGTCCGAAAACCCAGCGATTCGACGGAGATGTTGGAATTCACGAAAGTCTTGTGCTGCTGACCACGACGAGAGGATTGGGCTTGAGGAAATGGTCCTTGAACTTGCCATATCATAGATTTTCCATACCCTCAAGTACTTAGGGTCTAGGATGCGTTGACCTAGGGACGGGCCAGCAGGGGGGTCTAGAATTGTTAGGCGGATCATTTTAGACCTTTGAAGCAGTATCATTGTCGACCCCTCGGTTTGCTATGCATAGCCACAGCATTTTTTTGGAACCAAACTAGGCCCTTCCATGTCAGGAAAATTTCACCACCTACTCCAAAAAAAAACAAATTAGACCCATGTAGCTTGGGAACCCCCCCTACAAAACACTTCAAACTTGACACTTACTCAGCCAATGCATAATGATCCCAAACAGGTCGCGACTCGCTGTTTGGTGAAGTGGCATCTGCAGATCTAACATGGTCAAGTGGTTCAGTTAAAACCCAAGGGTTTTGCTAAGTTCAATCATTTTAGACCCGGGGGTTGGAGGTCTACAATGAAGATCCAGGGTCCCATGGTAGTAGTTGAGGGCATGATTTTCCTACCTCTTGGGTGGGGCGGTGGGGCAGACTTGCTATATATGCCTTAAATAGCTGCTTGAACAGTGGTGAATCTTTCATTTGTCACCTGCAGCAAGATGCAATTTCACCTTGTACCCAGCATTGCCCAGGCTGAATGCCGCGACCATTGCCAGGAGCTAGGGTCAAGCATACACACAACCTGAAAAAAAAACAAGAATAACTTGTAGCACCGCACCCCCCAAGAAAATTAGATGTTAGCAATTTATCACAATTTTAGTGGGACTTTGCTTTAACATTTTTTTTGGAGTTTGCTATGTAAGAGAAATGTACGAATTTGTGACACGATGTTGACCCATGATCTGCTGAGGGTTGTCTTTTCTGGTGGCATAGGAGCAAGACCATCGTCTGGAACGGGCCCATGGGTGTCTTCGAGATGAAGGTCTGATGCCATTCTGACGGAGTGTCGATGCGATACTGGCGATACGGGGATAACAAGATCTACCATGATCTACCCAAGTTGGGCTTAAGTTGGGATATAACCCCTAGAACTATGGGTATAGAACGGTATAGAACAAGTTAGTTGACTGGAACTGCACCCCCATAGTTATCACCCGACTGTTGAAAGGTCAGATTTTCGCCAGTGCTGAATTCATCCAGCGGAACTTGACTGTTTTGAAGGCATTCGAGCAGGGCACCAAGTGTGGGGCTACTCAGATCCAGCTTTTGGGGCACGCACGTTGCATGAGACCAGACCCAGAGATTTTTCAGCGCAACAGTCACCGCTGTTGAGAGTTTCTGGATATGTCAAAACCTTCAGAATGAGGGCACACTACTCACTAGTGTCTCAAACATATACAGTCTACATCTGATGCAGATGTCATGTATAAGCAGCCTTCTGTGCCCTGCAAAACGATGCTTCAGCCCTCCCAAAACCTGCAGCCTTGATGTGAAATTCCAGCCTCCGGGTTTCCTGCCTCAGTCATGATGGACAAGATCGTGGAGGCCACCAAATCTGGCACCGTCACAGTCCGGCGCCCTGTTGAAGACCTAGGACCCCTAGGAATCGACGGGGGGTTGGGAGGGATGACATTTGATCATTTTGATCTGTTTATTTTTTCGAGATCTTATTAAGGTACCTTATATGGTACCGGCAATGGAAAAAACATCCCCATTTAATCCTTTGAGTTCGATGATTGGGCCCCAGCCATCCATGTTGCCGGTTACCCCCAAGACCTGGAAGATTGAAGCCACTGGGATGATGCAACTGGCAGTTCTCCCGGATGTTTTGCGCAGTTCTCCCGGTCTCTAAATTTTTGGATTGCTAAAATCCACCATGGAACATGGTAGGTGATGCTACAACTTATAATAACTTTATACATGTCAAAAACCTGGGTGGTTGGAGGTTTTTCAGAGCCCACCAACATCACCAACACTACTGAGGGATGGTGATGTACATACTCCTGACGGTAGATGTATGGTGATGTACATATTATAAGAAAAAATGGTCGCAAACAAGGCGTGAAGAACGACTCTATTCACTATTGGTGATGGTGAAAATGTTGAGGCCCATGATTCATGATACACAATGTATAAAACAAATAGATGCTGTATTTCATGATATATATATATATATTATAGCTCTATATACATATATATATATACACATATATATATATATACATATCTGGAAATATAGTAGGTATGAAATATAGAACAGATCCATTCATGATAGTGATATCGTAGGTATAATACAAGATATCTATTCATGAGTGGTGCTAGGTCATTGGCGGAGGCGACACGGCCACAGCCTGGGCCTTGAGGTTCATGGGAAAATCCACCAGGGGTGAAGGATCAGAAACGATGGGAGTTTGGGGTACCCTATTTTCAGACAAAGTCATGTAGTTTAGTACCCTCTGGTAAACATACACACAACTATGGAAAAATCCACCATTTTTAATGGGAAAACTCACTATAAATGGCCATTTTCAATAGCTATGTTAAATTACCAGAGGGTAAATGGAATGGTAGGAGGAAGGTTCTGAGTTCTTGACATAGGGAGGAGAGAACAGTAGACCACAGCAGAGAGCAGAGCAGAGCGGAGTAGAACAGAGTAGAGAATCCATGAAGGCCAGTGTGGAGAGCAGAAGAACCATGCCGAGCACCAGAGAAAAATGGAGAGCGCAGAAGAGAATCAGTAGAGCGGCTCCGTCAAGGTGACTCTAGCTTGTGTCGGTGGCTTCGTGTTTGAGTGTTTGGCACCTCCTGGTCAATCCAAGTTCAAAAAGAAAGTAACTTGAAATCAGTGCAGTTTGAGGCTGATCTCGTTCGTGTCACCACCTGCGTGTGTAGCAGGGATTGGTTGATGTTTGCAGCATGGGTGAAATTGTTTTGAGTGGGGAGAGTCTTGTTGCTATGGAAACCGGAGATTGAAGGATATGGAGTTTACCTTACTGTTTTTTGTTTAGATTTTAGATGGTGAGTTGGTTGAAATTTGAGATGTTGCACTTTCGAGGGGACACAGTTTTCACTCAGTGAAACGTGGCCAAGGCTTGCAAAAAGTACGACACCGAAGACAAGGTGCACTGTCAGAGGACTAGTTGGTGATTTCAAACCATTTTACCCCGTCTTGTGGGTGGGAATGACCTAATAGCCTATAGGCCCTATGGTTATTTAACATAGCTACGCAAAAATCCATCATTTTTCGGTCAAATCTAGGGAAATCATCCATAAATTGACCATTTTCCATTGCCACCGTTCAAACTCCGGCTAAAGCACCAAATTTTAGAGACAGAAACCTTGAGGATTAACGATTCACCAATGGAAAAGCCAGGTGTTTTGATATGGAAAAAAGATGCAAAAACCTGCAATATTGAGAGGTGAACCAGCTTCCTGACTGGAAATCAGAATAGAACCAAGCATACTGAATACAGTTGAAATCGCCAAACCCGGTAGAGACTCTAACTATCTTAAAACAATCAAGTACGCTTGACCTTAGGAAAAACATGTGCTGCCAAAATACACTTGCAGCAAAAATGTGATTTTTGTTTCCACAGGTGCAGTCCAAAAATGCGCTTTCCAAAAAAATGCACAATGTGCGGGTAAGAAAATACACTCGCAGTAAACGTGCAAGTCCGATTTCCACACACGCGTAAAATAAATACACCTGCACAAGACGCAGGTGCCCAAGGCCTAAAAAAAATTCGCCTGGGCGAGACACAGGTGCCAAACGCGTAAAAAAATACACTTTTTAGCAAAAATCGCATCGCAAATGCACCAAACATATGCAAAAAATACACAACGTCAAAACACCAAAAATACACATGGGGACAGGTGCATTTTAAATATGCCGTGCCTGGAGACCAAAAATGCGCACGGAAGAAGGTGTATTTTCTGGCGGCGCAAGTTTTTAGCCACGTGAATTCCATATTCCTAAGTGCATTTTGGCTTTGGCCACAATGACGCGATTGAGGCGAATTTTAATTCCAAGATGCCTTAGAGAGTGTACCAGACTTTGGAGATTTCAAGAATACAGTTGATGTTCTGATGTACTTTTGATAAAGCGTCACACCAACTTTTTCACTTCAACTTGCAGCTATGTTTGCCCGGGCGTGTCTGACATTTTCGGGTATATCCCCAGTTATGGCCATGAAATAATAGGGAAAATGGTGACCAAGCAAAAAATGTGGGGTTGGTTGCTTTTGAAAAAAAGAAATCAATTCTTCTGCGGAGAAAGCACATCTATTTTTTCCCATATGATTCATCTAACAGTTGATAGATGGTTTATCCCATTATAATCCCATGGTTTACAGCGTTTCATAAGATTATAATCCCATTATAATCCCATTATAATCCCATTGTTTATTTATCCCATTACAATCCCATTATCCCATTATAATCCCATTATAATCCCATTATCCCATTATAATCCCATTATAATCCCATTATATCCCATTATAATCCCATTATAATCCCATTATATCCCATTATAATCCCATTATATCCCATTATAATCCCATTATATCCCATTATAATCCCATTATAGATGGTTTATCCCATTGTTTCATAAGTTTCATAGTTGCCTAACACTTCTTGTTGGCTCCCCATGGAAAGCCTATGAATTTGTCGTTCGCCATGGCTTCCAGGTGACTCATTGTAGCACCGGAGGCGGTGCTTCCTTGGAATTGCTGGAGGGCAAGGTGGGCATTTTCTGTGGAAAATGGGGATTTTGCTAGGGAAGATGGTGATTTACCTAGGGAAAATGGTGATTTTACTAGGGAAATTGGTGATTTACCTAGGGAAAATGGTGATTTTACTAGGGAAATTGGTGATTTACCTAGGGGATAATGATGTGGAACATGATCTACAAATATGGTTTTACATGCGGAAAACATACAAAAGATGTGGATTTGCAAAATCGCATCGCATTTCGTCCTGGGGTAAAACATAGATATGAAAATACGTGTAGAGTGTACCAACATACATTTACCACTGCAAAATAAATCCAGTAAAATAGCGTACACTGGATCATAAACTAACATAGATTCCAACCCTATCGTAGTAATTTTAAAGATTATGGCAAGGGGGAATCATCCCCCAAGTAGAGTCCATGTCGGTTGGAGGGTTTGTGATATGGAGGTTTCCAATCCATGGGGGTACCCCCAACCATATTCAAATGGGAATTTCTATTATAAACCATTCATTTGAGGGTACCCGCATTTTATGAAACCCCCATATTGCCCTCTGCTAAACGTTTACATAACTATGGAACATCATCATGCTATTAATAGGTAAATCAACGAACTTTCTATGGGCCATTTTCAATAGCAAACTGTAACAATTTCGACATCTGTCGCCGCGTGGCGCCATAGGTGTTGCCTGGTGTGGCTGCCTTGGATGATGCCCCTGCCCGTGCAGGCGATTTCGAAAAAAAACAAGTTGCTTGTTTCGAACCGATATCCCAAGTAACTTAACATATGGAATCGAATATGATATACATATATACTGTATATATCAAATTAAATTCCATATGTATATATAACTATATATATATATTTACATATAAGTTGGGTATCCCATTTTTTCTGGTTGATATTTCTAGTTTTCATGACATTTCGGATGGCTTTCATGATCCGGACCAAGCAGCACTTTTCGACGGAGGCAGCACGATTCTGCACATTCGGGCGCGCGAGATCTTTGATTCTCGCGGCAACCCCACGGTGGAGGTGTGTCTGGGGTCAGAGATGGGATAGGCATGGACTGCAGGTATAGTTCACACGGAATATTAAGGGATAGATTGACGGATGGATGGATGGATGGCTGGATGGATGGATGATAGACAAACAGACAGACAGAGACAGACAGAGACAGACAGAGAGACAGACCGACAGACCGACCCACAGACAGACAGACAGACAGACAGATAGATAGATAGATATATATATATATATGTATATATATATATATGTATATATATATGTATATATATATATGTATATATATATATGTATATGTACAACCACAACGGAATTGTTAAAGGATACACAGTACTTATCATGGGAATATCTACTTCTATGCCACGCTGCGGAGAGGTCTCCACTGGCTAAAACAAATCTAAGGGCCGGCGAAGCAGACATTGCCAGACAGGTGGATTCCGTAGCAGCGGGTGTGCTAGGATTGTTCACTAGACACTGGACCAACGAAATCAAAACACAGACCGATTGCAAACCCGTCTCTGCAAGCACCTGGCACTTTGTGCATGCCCAGCGCATAGGAACAGGCAGCCATTGGATTCAAACCGAGCAAGAACCTCGGCAAGGAGCAGACAGCGGGTGGACCATTGAGTCACCGCGCAACGTTGCATTTTTGCTTTATGCCCTGAGCCACACCGGAAGTCACAAGCACATTTTGACTCCTTGTTCTCTTTGGGATTGGAAAAAAAACGGAACCGAGCCATGGTTTGCGCTCCGTAGCACGATCTCCCAAGCAGCCTGCCGCATCCCAAAATGCCAGTTTCAAAGCTCCTTCGCCTGTTGCCACTGAAGGTTGCTGAGAGTCCACAACGAACAGCTGATGCAAGTGCCAATTTGTAAAGATGCGAGCTACCGACCTCAGCCAGGCAGTTCGCCGCTGGCAGCAGAGTGAATAGCAAAAAGTGCAGCGGGTCAATCAAACTGCTTCTCATCCTAGACATCTCGTCCCGTGTCAGCTGGATCTCTGCCGGAAATCCAGGCCTCATCGCTAGCGGAAACAACTCCTTGAGCCGCGCAGCATCCGCCAATCATCGAATCATCCCAATCCAACCACAAATCCCACCACTGACGCGGGAAGGAACGTGGGTAGAACCAGAAAATAGTAAGACCAGGAGGTCCAGAAAGAAGATTGTCTGCGTGCGACAATCTCCTGATGTTCCGCTAACACAGCGCACTGGTACGACTCGGGCCCACGGCTTTATCATGGGAATAGCATCGTGTGTATCTACGGTGTTTGGTCATCTCACCATGGAATTCTCGACACATGTGGTGCTGTAAAACTGAAGAAACGGGTCAAGATTGAGCCTTCACATCTGACCAAAATTTGGGCGTCACATTTTCAGCACTAACGATTAGTTTTGGGTTTAGGCTTCCCCCGGAAATCAAACATGGCTGGAACATCGATGATTTTGTCAGTAAGACCTCCATTTAACTTGGGGATTTTCTATCCAGCCATGTTACATGTTTGAGTACTGAGGGATGCCAAACCGCAATTTTTTGCTGCTTCAGTCACCATTTTTGATTGTTAAATCACAATTTTTCTGGGTTAAGTCACCCTAAACTTATTGATATCCCATAATATCCTGAGATATATCCCGTGAATATCCCATTATATCTCTATTGTACCGTAACCGCAATTTTTCTTGTTTCAGTCCCCATCAAAATGGCCAAAATCTCTGAATTCCATGGGTCTCAACGTGGCACCGAACACGTAGCTTCCTGCAGGTCGACCTTTGCACCGAGACGGCCCTCTTCCGCGCGGCTGTGCCCAGTGGTGCGTCCACGGGCATCTACGAGGCGGCCGCGGAGAGCGGGGTCGAGGAGCGCCCCAAATCATAAAGATCCTGGGTTTAGGCCCAACTCCCAAGAAATTGCAGAAAATCTCGATGAATTTTGGCATTTTGGTGTCCATTTTTTGGGGCTAGGGGTAAAATTGTTTGCTTTTTGGCGGCATTTGATGTTCTATTTTTGGGAATACTATATAAGGGAAACATGAAAATGAAACACCTTGGGGGCAAAAACCACCGGTTCCTGCAAAATTGCAAACATCTCACCTCAAAAACATTCAAAAACTGGTATATCATCGGCAAAATATGAACATATATAAACTCTTCAGCGACCATGATATTACCAACAAATATTGGGGGATAAAACCAGCAAACGATGGGGTAGATCAGCCTCAAAAATGGGGTGTTTCTTAATCAGAACAGTATCAGTATAAGTCACCAATGCTGTTTTTTTGCTGCCCATTTAGGCCATACCTACAGTAGGTATCCTTTTGGAAACATCCAACTTTTTTTGCACATGCCGGGAGCGAGGCACCATTTTAGGACACAATGAATTTGACTTGGATATGTCCCTGTTTAAACTGGTTTTTATCCACCATTTTAGGTAGATCAGCATCCAATGGTTCAGTGCTAAAATTGAAGCCTTAGGTTACCAGGTTGCTGGTGGATAGTCGCCACCATGGTAAAATGAGTCATTTGATTTTCAGGATTAAAATGGGTTACCGTTTCATGAAATGTCTGGATGAACCATGATAAATCCCGAACCAGGTTTCACGTTGGATGGTCCCCCTACAGAAGTTAGCAACCTCCAAAAAGTTTTGGGAAAACAATGTACCACAAAGATAGAACAACTGTTTCCGTGGGATGTGCCTTTTCCATCTCAAGAGGTTGCACCTTGGATAGTTCAGTGACTAATCTTTCTGCAACATACTGTAATTGGGAATACCTTAACCCAACCAACTGCAAAAGAGAAACACTAAATTAGATAACCGGGCATACATCTACGAAACCAGAGTTTTTGAACATATATGAAATCCCATCAAATCCCATCAAACCCCATCAAACCCCATTAATAACCCCACCAACCTCCATGAAAATCTATGATGAACCCCCTCCGAACATTGATGAACGTTGAAGAAATACCGAAGGGTTGGTCAGTTGGTCAGGCCTTGGAGCTGCGTGATGGTGATAAGGGACGACTCTTGGGCAAGGGCGTTCTCAAGGCGATTTGTCTCGAAACCATGGGATGGGAGGATTTTTTTAGGGACATTCGCCATGAAACAAGGTGAGGCCCTGACTTTTGAGGAATGACGTGACTTGGTGAACTGCTGAGTTTAGGGATACAACTGTAGTTATTGGTGTATCAAACAACTTACTGTAACTAGTAATTGGGGGGCTTCACATGACATTTGGGTGTTTCTCTAAATGGGCTCCATACCCGGCCAAAGTGTCAATGGCGAAAAGGATGGTACATCGGTATATCATCAATTTTTTTGGACCCCATTTTCATACAAACCAAAGTAGCAAAGATGTGGTTTTGATGATTCTAAGCCATCCAAAGCTGGGATTGAGCCAGCAACCATGCAGCCCATGGCATGGTATACGTTTGCAGCTGGTAGGGTGATAGTGCGACATCCCTACAACTTCTTGAAGGGTCGAGTGGTCGACTTGGAAGGTTATTTTCCATCAAAGTGAACTATGAGAACAATGAGTCGCACGATCTTTCTTCATCATCTAGAAAACCATTTCTCTCAAAAGAAGGCCACAGAAAGACACAAGAGTCAACAACCATTTGGCCTTATCAACAAAGATCGGCCCCAAAAAACTCCAATGATTTCTCATCACTACATCCCCAATATCCCCATTTCGGGCATGGGTGGATCCTGGGTCGCCTGGGTCCCCTGGGTCAACGTCAAGGCGGTGGAGAATGTGAACAATTTGATCGCCCCAAAGCTGACGGGGATGGATGTGCGTGACCAGAAGAAGATCGACGACGTCATGGTGCAGGTAGCGCTGCCTGGCGCTGCCTGGGGCGAGTCCTGGGGCGACTCCGAAATGCTCCGATTCGGATCACGGATCAAGTGGGGCGGATCCCTCTGAAAAGCCACTGTTTTGTAGCTCATTGTCCGAGGAAACCATGGTTTTTCTGTGAATTGATTGGCGGTATATGATGGGAATCCAATGGAACAAATCATGATACAATGTAATGATCATGATATAAACAAGTCAAGAATTGGATTTACCAGTCAAACTGAACAGGTTGATCAGTAATAGATGAGCTTTGAAATGCAAAATTTGAAGAACGAACGGAGAGACGTTTAAATAGCACAAAGCACCAAGATAGGGACGCCGTTAAAAGTGGAGGTAGAACCAGCAACAATGAGGGCATTAATGTTGACCAAGAAAGATGGGGTAGAGATGCAACCATGAATATGGTGAAATATCATAGTATAAATACCCAATAAGATGGTATTGGAATATTCAAATGGGTGTAGGTCAGACCAGAAGAGGCTGGTCAGGAGATTTCATCCATCGGTGGAAATCAGCTCAGACTGTGTCTCGGAACACAAAAAAATACTGGTGAAAAAACGATCATCAGGTTTCCAAGGTACCAAAATTCCGATGATCTTGATGGGTCGTTGTTGATTGGTTACAGAAATGGTCCAACTTGAGTCGTAGGGCTTTTGCTGATGCTGTGAGTCAGGAATTGGATGGCTCCAAGAACGAATGGGGCTGGTCCAAGAGCAAGTTGGGTGTTGCTCCTGGCTGTGGTGTTGCTCCACGTGAGTGAACAGTTTCGGGTTGATTGTCCTGGGTGGTTTCTCCAATAATATATGGTTAATTTCACCATATATATATATGTATGGTTTAACCATCTATCAATCTTATATGATGTATTCCAGAAACACTTGGTATCAAAGATTGATAGCTCAAGATTGATAGCTCAAGATTGGTATTCTCTCGGGACAGCTGAGCAGTCCTGAAACATCATCTTGTTTGACGGTTAAGAGATTGTATCAAGGGGTTCATTTCAACCTGTCAGTCAGTGAACACGCAGGGCATGTTTCAACCGGCTCATATCCCCACATTTGGTTGATTTAATATAGTTCTCCTCCTGTTTTTCTCAGCATCGATATGGAAACCGCACCATTTGTGGATCATTTTCCCCGTTCGAATTGCCAAGGCGCCAATGCCATTTTGGCAGTCTCAATGGCTGTGTGCCGTGCTGGTGCATCTGCCAGTGTGGGCACCTGGCTCCAAACCCTGCGTCATGTGGAACCATCCATCCTGATAGGGGACTTCCGCCCGTTTTTGGACACGAATGGTGTGAGAAATTGCTGCAGGTGGCATGCCGCTTTACCAATACATCGCGAAGATCGCGGGGAAACCAACAGACAGGTTTAGGGCCCTAGAGAAAGAGGGTTCCAGCACTTCAGAGTGTTGGTTTGCTGACTTCAGGCTATGCAAGATCCCCAAAATGTAGTAGGTGAAAATGATGATTTACAATTTTACAAACTCTTCTGTTTGTTTTTGAAATGTTCACCCAAGATGTGACCTGTATCATCTCATGGGCACCACCAAAAAGGTCCAGATCTGGTCCGGTCCAAGCTTTGGACAAGGAATGGATTCAACTGAAATGCAGGAAGATCATTTCGTTTCCCAAGATATGGCTGGTGAATCAGCTCGGTCCTCCGCAGAGCCGATGTGCTCAAGCTCGAATTGAACATCATGGGTGAGGCCCTGCCGACCCGCTATGGAGGGATTGGCCAATGGCAAAAAGCTCTCCGAATGCTGTGGGAGGCGAAGCAAAGGCGTTCCTGGAGCAAAGTTACGGTGTTGTCGTATTTTGTTGGTTGTGTTTTTTTATTCCTTTGCCCAATCTTTCTTGGCTGTTGCCAATTTCCAGCGTTTGATTTTTATGCCCTATTTAGCTTCTGTCATCGTTTTCTCGTTTTCATCCTGTTGTGGGAGGAAAAGCTTTTGAGCTTTTAACCGTCTAGCGTGGTAGGTTCATGATTCCTGACAACAAACTGGATTTTGCAATGATGATTTTCCAGCATACAATTCCCCTGTTTGCTGTTGGATTTCTGAGAATTGCACCGTGTTCGGGCCGAGAGAAGCCAAGCATGGTCATCAAAAAATCTCAAAATCACCCCCTGGCTTCGTAAGGTTTGACAGATGTGCGGAGCTACAATGAGACCATGAACTGTATCAAATCGCTAGGACTCTGCATGTTGCTGTTGCAAAGCTTGCGGTCGGAACTGCTGGAACCTAGCGATGTGACCATGGGCACCTGCTTGAAAGCCTGCGTTGTCGCTGTGGCGTGGCGAGATGCCTTGGAGCTGCAGGTGAGTTAGGGATGACTCCAAAATTGGGTCCTGTTATTCATGGTGAAGTTCCCAGTTTTATCCCATAAAAATCTTCCATTAACCCATTCAATCCAATTTTTTTGATGGTTAAATCACTATTTCTGTTGGTCAACCCAGGTTTAGGACTGCTATTTATACACTTATCATCTCAATTATAGCTATCATAGTCCCCATTCTTGATTGAATTACCATTGAAATTTTCCCATTATCATCATCATCATTATCCCATCTACTCGTTGTTTTCGGCACAATTCATTTCCATGAATCATGAATTCCTATTATTGATGGTCTATTCTTATCCCTATTCCATGAACCCCTATGATTCATGGTGAAAAATCCTATTTATCCACATTTACCCTCTGGTAATTTAACATAGCTATTGAAAATGGCCATGGAAATAGTGGATTTTCCCATTAAACATGGTGATTTTCGATAGCTATGTTAAATTACCAGAGGGTATCCACATTTATCCCATGTAACACCCGTGAAATACGACGACCCAGGAGCAGTCGCGCGCCACCTTCCCGGCAGCCAACCTCATCAGCAGCTCCGCAGCCGCCAAGGCGTGCGCAGATGCGACGGCCTGGAAGGTGGGAGCTGAAGTCGGGAATTCAGGCATCAGACATCATGGAATGTATATATATATATAGACATACATATACATACAGATGCATACACATACATGCATGCATGCCTGCCTGCCTGCCTGCCTGCATGCACACATACATACATACATACATACATACATACATACATACATACATACATACATACATACATACATACATACATACATACATACATACATAACATACATACATTACATACATACATACATACATACATACATACATACATACATACATACATACATACATACATACATACATACATACATACATACATACAACATACATACAACATACATACATACATACATACATACATACATACATACATACATACATACATACATACATACATACATACATACATACATACATACATACATACATACATACATACATACATACATACATACATACATACATACATACATACATCATACATACATACATACATACATACATACATACATACATACATACATACATACATACATACATACATACATACATACATACATACATACATACATACATACATACATACATACATACATACATACATACATACATACATACCTGCATGCATGCATCCATACATGCATACATACATAATACCATCTACCAACTACTTAAGGTCTATTGAGGGTCAAGGATCTAGGGGTCTAGAGTGGTTATTTAGAGCCTTGTAGACCTTTGTTTTTTTGCGTTTTGAAGCTGTCAAAAACATCACCAGAAAAGCGCACTGTTCTTGAACCCCGCTTTCAGGAGGTCATCATTTTTTTGGTTCACCATATTATACCCCCTATCATCTGGGTTGGAAGCAAAAAAAGATGGTATTCTGAAAGCAAGGTCCTGCAACATGTTCAATTTTTCAATAGTTTTTTTTTTTCGCAAATCAATCCAAAACAGGTGAACACCATGGCAGTTGACACCCACTGAAGTGAAACTGCAAATCATCAGATTATGAGATGATCATCACTCATCCATTTTCCATCCATTTTCCATCCAGGTGGCCTTGCAACTTTTCGCTTCTTTCCGCACTCAGCGGTTGGAAGCCAGTGCGCGCAGTGCCACCAGCCTCGCCCGGGGCTGTGGTGCTGCGGAGGGTGGTGCCTGGCGCTGGGCCTTGGAGTTCGAGGCCCTGACTGGGCTCACCATGGGAATGATAGTTTAAGCCTAAAACTATTGGTTAATAATGGTTAATAATGGTTAATAATGGTTAATAATGGTTAATAATGGTTAATAATGGTTAATAATGGTTAATAATGGTGATCAAGATGGGTAGAACAATGCTATAAACCACCCATGACTGGGAATGGTAAGTTTATACCACCTATAAAAATGGTGATGACTCGGGGATGGTTGATGATATTGTTTTACCCACATTCATGAGATTATATTTGGAATCTAATGTGATTTTTCGTTTTTTTGTGCAACATGGGTTTGGAATAATCAGCAAACACCATGGAGGCAAAATGGGGAGATACGGCGGATTTCATCGTCAAACATGGTGGTTTGCTTCTCGGATTGGGATTTTACCACCCCATTCACCAATCATTTTATGCTACAATCAATATATATACATGGTTTTTTTTTCTGGATTTCAGCGCCCTGAGGTGGAAAAGGATGTGATTCTCAGTTCTGCACAGATTGGCGCTTGTGCGCCCAGGCGTCATGGGATAGTCATGGTGGGGAAAGCAATTGTGGGTTTTGGGGTCCCCAACTTTTTAGGGTGGCGAATGGTTTGTTTTTTTTGGCCAGAAGGTTTGCTCCAGCAAATTTCATCTCATATGGGTTGTGGGTCAAACTTGGAGAAACTGGGACCCACACATCGTGGTCCGTTTTCAAATCACATGTTTGATCCACATGGTTCAAATTTACATCACGTCAAATCCTAATTTTTTGATGATTATATCGTTATATCATTTAGTTTCTATTTTTCATGGTTAAAATTTGATGTTTGAATCCCACCTCCAGTGAGTTTTGTGGCCACTTCAGCCGGGGCGACAATCCTCCCTGCCCATTTCCCAACGGTGCCCCAGAGGGGAATATGCCTTGGCAATTCGAAATCCCTTTCTTTAATGGGAAAAAATGGGTTTCTCTGAAAATTTCGGAAAATTAAAAAAAAACTTCATCATTTTTCCGGTGATTGTATAAAAACACTCAAGTTGTGGGTATCAATGGTGTCTAAATCATTGTCAAAACGCAGATTCGTCGGAACATCAGTCGCCAGGGTTTGGCACTTGGCTCACTGGAGATTGGAGCAGATGAAAAAACATGAGCTTCAACCGACCCTAATGACGTACAACATCGTGCTCACCAACACCGACAAGTACTGGAAGTCACCTGGCAGCTGCAACGTCCACTGTGGTTCGGAAACGTTGGGTTTTAAAAACGCCCCTTGGGAAGTGATGAAAACAAATGGTGGATGAACACCATATCTGTGAAAGGTTTCCTGGAGGGCGAAATTTCCATGATTACTATCACCGTTATTATCATTATCGTTATTGTGATCCAACCAAATCCATGGCTAAAAATATATAGGAAACCGCTGATTTTCTTGCTGCGGGGGTAACAGTGTGAAATGATCAGATTAAATCGCCATTTGCGGAACATATTCTTCACCATTAATCATCATTAATCCCTATGTGAAACTTCCCATCCTTCACTTTTTCCCAGGGCCTCCATGGAGTTTATCGCAGAACTGCAGAGTTTATCGCTGCAGCCGGACGCCTACTCTTGGAGCCATACCATCCATGCTGGGGCACAGGTGCCGGGGGAACCACCAGCGCCGGAACAACGGTGGCTGAACAACGGTGGAATAACGATAGAAAATCACCATGTTTAATGGTAAAATATGGTAAAATTCACTAAAACTGACCATTTTCATGGTGATTCATGGTGATTCATGGTGATTCATGGTGATTAATGATGATTATATAATGATGATTAATGATCGCTAATGATGGTAAATTAATGGTAAACTAATGGTGATTAATGATGATTTCACTTAGCCTCTGGTAAACGTTTTTTCATAATTTCATGACTATGGAAAATTACAATTTTGAATGGGAAAATTCCAACTATTTCGACGGGGCCATGGCTTCACTAGCTATGTAAACGTTTGGTGTGGCAGATGTTGGACCAAGAGAAGGAGAGTGAGATCCAACAAAAAAAAATGTTTTACCGTAAACTTAGAAGGATGGAGAGAAACCCAGGAGCCACGGGTTTCTTGGGAAAGACACCACATTTTTTTGAGCAATTGGACCATTTCTTTGGATAGAGTGCGGGAAGATGGTCGATGGTCAACCACCGATGTTTGTGGCTGAAACATTCGGTTTTTTGGCACAAGCAACAATTTTTTTCATGGAACCCAAAGATTGTGATATTTAAAGGGAAAACCTATCTGATCTTCCATATTTTTGTGGTTGTGAAATTTAGGACTGTATACAGTCGACAATCCGATTGTCATACTCTGTATATCTCTGTATGAGGTACTTGATAGAAGCAAGAACTCGAAGGACCCTCATTTTGGAGGTGTTGATCTTTGAAATGTGGGATTGTTGTCAGACAGAGGGATCATCATGACCAAACCCTGGGACCGCGAAGCCCCAAAACCAGAACCACCAACCAACTGTCGGCCTATTGTTGTTCTATACCCATGATGTCGGCCTATGATATACACCATTCTCGTGAGATGCAACGCCCATTTCCCAACCATTGATCCCAAAAAAATCCAAAACTACCCTCCCGCTGCGCCAGTGGCAACGTTCCTTGTGGCTGCTGGGCCACTGCAACACTTTGATCTGCCGAAATGCTGCGCTGAGTGTACTGGAAAAGGCAGACAGGCTCGGTGTTCTAATACACTGCGGTTTTAACATTCAGTAGATGGTGATGTCACCAACAAATTGTAGGATTACAGGGGATTGTGGTGAAAAAAAACATATGGTAATTTTTATAAATGCATCGGTTGACATGTTCGATGGCGGATACCTGGCAGAGGCCATTGTTGCAGGGTTGGAGGTCACTCCCTCTGCCTTAAGGTTGTTGCAAGATGGATGGCCAATATCAGAACCATGAGGGGGATCTAGGCAAACTATGCTCAGATCCCCACATATCCCCACATATCCCCACAAAAAAGATCCTTTCTTATAGCCCCTTCATTTGACTGGCTTAGGGGTGCTGAAGCCCTGCCTTCTTGGTCCTTGTCCGAGGTGGCAGCGAGCACTTTTCCTTCTGCACTCCGAGGACGAGAAGGATCTGACCGGTTTCAACGCAGCCATCAGCGCGTGCCAAAAACGGGGCGAGTGGCAACTGGCGCTAAGTCTCATGGCGGAAGCTTGGGATGCAGAGCTGCAATTGGATGAGATCAGCTACAATGCGGCGATGGCCGCGTGTGGCAAGGGGCAGGAGTGGCAGATGGCATTGGAACTCTTTCAGGCCAGGGGTCATCTTCCAAACTCGTTTTTCTTCTTGCTTTCCAACTGTTCAGCTGTCCAGTCCATAGTTTGTCACCCCACTAGCCTTCGAGCTTCCAAGAATCGGCCGTTGGCCTTGGGTTCCCCAATGGGTTCCCCAAGAGACTGCAGGAGCTCCGACAGCTTCGGCGGTTTCAGCCGCTCGTGGACCCCTACAGCTGGGGAAGTATCGTGGCGGCGATGGCCTGGGCCACCGAGTGGCAACAGGCCTTGGTGCTGTGGACGCAATCCACGGCTGAATGGCGAGGGGATGTGCAGCGAGCCAAGGAGGTGTGGGTTGGGGGAGTTTTGTGTTTGGAGATGGGGATGTCACATCAGTAAACTCCAAAAAGGTAGAAAGTTGGTAAAATCTTACCAAAAGAGTGGTAAGTAAATTACTAGTACATTGTCTTGAGCTTTACTATGTAGAACTATCCAATAGTGGGAAGGAGATGAAGGAGGCACAACAAAAATACGTGGATTTCGAAACCAAGAAGTGGAATTCTTGGAGCAACTGAAGAGTACTGAAAAATGCAGCTTGGTCAATGAAGCCTTCACTCAGGATGGACATGCAATGTGTTGGTCCATGTCCATATGTCCATATGTCACTGAGCTGTTGCTAGTAGGATTGTTAGTAATACTCCCCGTGGCTCATTGTTGTACATCTCCAAGGACTTCTAGGGAATTCCATCCACCTCATTGCCTTTTGTACAGGGGCCGGTGATCGCCAATGCCTGCATGAGTGCTTTGGAGAAGGCGTCTCAGTGGCAGAGGGCCTTGCAGATCTTTTCAGCTTTGAGGAAGCCGACTCTGCAATCCTTTGGCCCTTTGGTGAGCTCATGCGCCAAAGCACGAGAATGGAGACAGGCCCATTTTTGTTTGGGTGGTTTCAGAACTTCCGCTGTGTGCTCTGGAGAGATCTAGATATGTTTTAAGAAAAGGATGTGCGTCGCACGCTGCTGGTATCATCATCCTATTTTTCCCCCCCAGGTTTTGACATCTTTGGCAGTTCTTCCAATCTTTCCCCACACATCCCCCCACCTTCCACCCTTCCAAGCACCACCCACCAGGCCTTGGAGTTCCTCTCCCTGTCCCGGCTGCGTCGTTTCGCTCCCAGCCTGGAGCTCTACGGCCCGGCGCTCTCCGCCGCCGCGATTGGCCGCGCCTGGCGCCTGGCGCAGCGGCTGCTGACGGAGCTGCAGCAGCAGCGCCTGGGCGTCGCGGCGCTGAACGACGCGGCGATGGCCGCGGAGCTGGCCATGGGCGCCTCCAGGGGCCCTGGGACCATGGTGCCGTTGACGTTGGGATGAGTTGATGCTGGGGAAAAAAAGGGAGAAACGTTGGAAAATGGGGGAGTTGGGAGATGGCTTGCTCTGAAGTTTGGGATGCTGAGTGCTATGAGGTGGTCAAGTGCTTAATTAAGCTCCAACTTCCTCCCCCAAAACAGAGCCCCCATATTTGGATGGTGAAAGCAAGACCATCCCCAGAGGACTCAGGCTGTCATTCCGAATCGAGGTTTGTCATGCCGGTGCCTTCCTTCAACGTCATCAATGGCGGCAGCCATGCTGGCAATCGGCTGGCCTGTCAGGCGAGAATACTAGGGTTGACTGACTATAATGTTTTAATATGAATATTTTCATATTAGTATTAACACTGGTAGGAGTAGCGATAGGAGTAAGAAAATCATCATCATCATCATCATCATCATCATCATCATCACCATCACCCCAAAATGGTTGTTGGTAATGATTCTCCAAATGGTGGAGTGATTTCAAGTGGGTCATTTGGTTCAACCTATCTCCAGCAACTGCCTCTTCCTGTTTGGCCAAGTGGCGATGGTTGGAGATGGTCATTGCTGATGTCTGGCTATGTACTGTATATAATTTTTTTTCTCATGTCTCACCATATGTGTTAGTTACAAAGACAACATGACTGTTGGTTGCGAAACTCCACTTCTTGTAGATTTTCCCACTTATGGTTGTTGGTGAAGTTCACCATTTCTTCTAGATTTTCCCATTGCCAATCTTGTTTTGGGCAAAACAATGCCATAAACTATTTCCCACTCATCACCATGTTTATAGGTTGTTTTCTAACCATTTCCAACTGGTTTGTTTATGGCATTGTTTTGCCCACATTGTTCCAATTATTAACCATGATTAACCATTATTAACCATTATTAACCATTATTAACCACTATTGAATCACCATTTCTTCAGTTCAGGGATCATCACTGGCCAGGAGTTCATGATTCTTCCCGTGGGCGCCTCAAGTTTCAAGGAGGCCATGATCATCGGAGCGGATGCTGGGCTGCATTTGGATGTCAACGGTCAACCCTGAAGAGATGGGGATTGATAGGGATATTAACCAACAAACATGGTATTTCAATGGGATATACCATCATTCAATGGGATATTAACCAACAAAACATGGTGACTCATCATGGGATAATGGGATATAACCAGATTAGATTTTAGGGATCTATGATGAGTCATCCGCCTGGGGAGTATTGTTGGGTTGGGTGGATGGGATTTGGGGCTGAGGAAGTCTACCACAACTTGAAGAGCGTGATCAAGAAAAAGTATGGCCAAGATGCCTGCAATGTTGGAGATGAAGGCCGCCAAAGTTGTTGAACAATTCTGGATGTTTTCCACGTTTGAAACGTGCGTGCTTTCGGTTGACTTTGATTTCTTTTGTGGCCATATCTTTGATTACTACAATCTCCCGCCAAATGTTCACATTGGAATGGTTAGATCCGAAAAAAACATTCCCAGAAATCCCCATTATACAGTATACAATATAAGGCATCAAATATCCGATACAAATCTCCCATAATATATCCCATAGAAATATCCCATAGAAATATCCTATAAAATATCCCATAGAAATATACTATAAAATATCCCATAGAAATATACTATAAAATATCCCATAGAAATATCCCATAAAATATCCCATAAAATATCCCATAGAAATATCCCATCAGATATCCCATAGAAATCTCCCATAAACATATCCCATAGAAATCTCCCATAAAATATCCCATAGAAATCTCCCATAAAATATCCCATAGAAATATCCCATAAAATATCCCATAGAAATATCCCATAAAATATCCCATAGAAATATCCCATAAAATATCCCATGGAAATATTCCATCAGATACTCTATTCCCATTTTTCCATGGCTACATTCCCGCCGTGCTTTGGAAACGTGGACCGCGCGAGGCGGTTTCGCTCCGAACGTGCAGGACAACAACGAGGCCTTGGATGTGTTGATGGAGGCCATCCAGAAGTCAGGACACGCAGGCGAGGGATGGACGCCTTGGGTGTTTTTTTGGTGGGTAAAGCTATCGGAAATGGTGAGTTTTATATGGTTTTACCATGAAAAATGGGGATCTGACTTTGGGTAAACCTAGGGATTTTGGGTCTAAGAGTTACGATTTTGAAGAAATGTTGAGAATCCACTTGGATTGGAGCGTACCCTGTTCTGGAATATGGCATTTTCAGATTGAAGACTATCTACATTCCCAGTGCCCAGTGCCCAACCCATGTTCACTTCGAGGGTGAGCCGTTTGTTGTTCGCCAGGCAAGGTGAAGATTGGCACAGATGTGGCCGCCTCCGAATTCTACAAGTCGGATGAGAAGGCCCGATGGTGTCCGATGGTGACGGAGGAAGTATGGTGATAACCCATGGGTTTTGGTTCAGATAAGTCAGGTTTGGGATGACTTACAAATTGATATCAACTGTCTAGGTATGCAAAAAGTGATGGCTGGTGGCAATGGGGACTTACTAGCAATAGCAACTCGTTGCTCAGCAGGTACGATGTTGTTCAGTATTTGCACACGTGTTACGCACCGTGATAGCACCATGGACCGTCAGTGCTACGACTTGGACTTCAAGAAGGAAGGTGGAGGAGGAGCTGACATGAAGAAGTCGGTGCCGCAGCTCATTGAGTACTACAAGAGCTGGTTGTCCAAGTATCCCTTCGTCTCCATCGAGGTTGGGGATGGGGGCACAAGAGGTGATAGGGCTTGTGGATGGTGCTGGGTTATGGCTGTCCACCTGCCAGATCTACTGGTTGCTTCCCTCTGAGCATTCATATCGAGGTCATGGGTTCTTAAAATTGGGGGACCCAAACCCATGGTTGTTTTCTTGATTTCGTAAGCTTTTCCCATGAAACATAGCATTTTTTGAGAAACACCTATCGGTGTCCCGATGAAAAAATCGCCAGGATCCCTTTGACCAAGATGACTGGGACGCTTACAAGCAGTTCATGGCGGAAGTTGGCAAGGACGCTCCAACCACTTTCAGTGGTGGTTTGGGAAGATGGCACGAATCAGTCGTGGGTATGTCTCAAAGTTGGGGCCAAACCCCCATGGTTTCTCATACTTTGCTCCAGTGAGGTTGCCATAAATCCGAAAAAAAACCATGTCTTGGCGTCAGACTTTATGGGTCTGGGTCGAAGTGTCCAAGTCCTGCCTTGCCCAAGACTTGGGCGCTTTTTCTCGTCCACGGTGAATTGAGATCCTGATCGCTATTTCTCTTGGATCGCCAGACTACTCCAGCACTCTGAAGTCCAGGATCAATCGAAGTTTTTATTGAATCCATGCGATGTAGCCTGTTGCAGATCCATTTGTGTCCATTTGTGACATGATTTTCAACTCCAATTTTTCCAGAAAAATCCAATCATGTCACAATTTTTCCATGATTTTCCAGAAATTTGGGAACAACAACTCCAAAAAAAATCCAGAAATGATGATTTTCAACTCCAGTTTCGAACAAAAACTCAAAAAGAACATCCAGATTTTTCACCAGCAATCTGTTTCCAGGATCAACAGATCGTTGGAGACGATCTGCTGGTGACCAACCCCAATCGCATCAAGAAGGCGTTGGAAGTTGGAGCATGCAATGCCTTGCTGTTGAAGGTGAACCAGCTGCTTGGTTGGAAAAAAGTCACGTTTTGGAGATGTTTGAAGCATGAAAACTATGGGGAATACTTATTAGATTTAAAGAACAAAAATAACGGAGATCAGAAAAAGCAGACATTCGATCTATGTAGATGTAATCAACAAACATGATGATTGAACCAATAAAGATTGGAGTTTATCAACCAGAAACGGTGATGAATTACGAGATATATGAAGATACCAAGAATGACCGATCTGAAATTAAGTCTGAGGTTTGTGATACATATACCCAGACCGTTGTGTTTATGGCTTTTCTCAACGAGGAAATTCACAACTCAGAGAAAAACCAGGGTTGAATCCATGGCTTTTCAAGAGAATCCATGGCACCCAGTGGGTGTTCGGAGAAATCCACTCAAAAATTCTTGGTCGATTTCTTGGTTACCATAGCTATGGAAAATCACCATTTTTAATGGGAAAACTCACTATTTCTATGGCCATTTTCAATAGCTATGTTAGTTTACCAGAGGGTACATCATATCCCATTGCATCCCATTATAAAAATGTGATCATTGTTGGCCAGAAATGCTGCTTTTTCATGGGGACCGAATCTCAGGATCGGTTCCATCACCGAAGCCATTGAAGCTGCGAATATGTCCATGGACAACGGCTGGGGCGTCATGGTTGGGGTGCCTATTGTAGGGACTTGTGCTGTTTCAGTTCTTTCCGTATTCGGGAGTGAGTGGAAATCATTGAGTAATAGGATTACATGTATATACTGTATATATATATAATAGATATTATATACATTATTATATGGTATCCAGTCAAAATTATGTGTTCAGAAAAAAACAGAACCGATGTGCGAAAGTCATTGCTGCAGTTTTTTTTTGTTTTAATGCATGCATGCAGACTTACGTACGTACTTGTGTACACGGATACACTTCTATGTACACTATATAATATGTGTATATATATATATATCTAGGTGTAGAATGTGTATATATATATATATATACATATGTATACTTGTATATGGATACATTATGTATGTATATTGTACACATAGATACACATGCAAATAGACACATAGGCAAAGAGCTTAGGAGTTTCGATTTTGGCCCAGGTCTCTCACCGTTCGGGTGAGACGGAGGACTCCTTCATTGCGGACCTGGTGGTGGGTCTCCGCCAAAGCCTCAGGGGCCTCAGGGGCTGGGGGATGGAGGGAATTCATCAGGGGTACACTAATAACAGGGGGTATATACACTAATCACATATATATATATATGACCCTCATATATATATATATGATAATAATAATGATAATAATAATAATGATAATAATAATAGTAATAATAGTAATAGTAATCATGTTAGATAATGATAATAATGATAGGGAATATAAAATGACAGGGAATATATAACAATACCAATAATACCAATGATATTATACCATCTAATATCTATATTGGATTATGGCAAATATCAGCAAGATACGATGGAATATCTATATCATTATCTTGATATTATCTTTAGATCTCTATATCCATGCATTGCATGCATCTCAAGATGTGTATACATAGATATTTGTATTATATGTAGTTGTGCATCTAGCGGTGATAATGAAGGCCAGTAACTCTGGGTCTCTGCGTACTAGCGAGCAATGAGAATTTTGATGCAACCGGAGTTCTGTTTTTTCTGCACTTTGGACCTCCATTTGAAACAAATCTGAGACAACCTGTTTCATGTTTCCATCAGGTTTTTCAAGGCGAACCAGAGAATCTGTCAACATCCACTGGTCCACGATCCCAATCATCTCTTCAGAGACTGGCACGCGCCTCCCAACGGCTCCCGCCCTGGCTCGCATTTTCCAGGTACGGGACAGATCAAGACAGGCGCCCCATGCCGATCGGAACGCCTGGCCAAGTACAACCAGCTGACACTGGGCATCAACAGACCACCAGTGGATCCTCCTGGATGGTTTAAATTTGCGGGGTGGGTGAGGGGTGAATAAACAAAATCCTGAAAAAAAAACATAGTAGTTGACATGATCATGGAGTTTTTTTCCCCCCTCTTGGGGGATAACCCCCCAATTTGTCAACAGAGTGACTATTACTCCGGGGTTGCCATTAGCCAAGTTGGTTGCCAACTTATCTCCCTTTGGACGGCAATTTTTTCAACATTCAAACCCTCCAATCTCAGAGAATTGGTTGAGGGGAAATGCGCAGGAGTCCCCACAATATTTGATGGTCACCGATGGTCAAACCCTTGGTTTCCTATAAATCACTATAAATCACTATAAATTTCTGGAAATCTGTCCCTTGATGTCCCAGATTTATCTGCGTCAAGGATCCGCATTGAGGAGGAGTTGGGACCCATCTGCAGTGGCTCGGCGGAACGGAGGAACTTTGTTCCCTTTTTGACCAGTGAACAGTCAAGAAATTGAGTAGTTAACAGCAACATATCTTGTGGTTGAGAATCTTGGAATTTGGTTGTTTTTTTTTCCACTTTTCCCGTAAATCTTCTGTAAATCTTATGAAAGTCTGGGGATGGATGTCCTCAACGGTCAGCCATAAATATATGACCCCCCCAGGATCATCGTGTTTTTGCATTTCTGTGTTGAGGGGAGGATCTGTTTTTTTTTTTTTTAAACGACGGTTTTGGGTCACCATTCATAGAGATGCGGTTTGGAGTGGACCAATCTCACCAGTTCCCACCAGGGCGATCTCACCTTTGGGCGATCGCCTAGGCTTTGCAGGCGTGAACTTCAGGAAACCTTAGCGCAGCCAAACTGCGCGCAGTCAGCACTTCCAAAATGCGGGTGGAGAATAGGTGTGGTTTTGGGCGCCGCCCACATCATCATCCCGGATTTAAAATGGTGGTGGGTGTATTCAGACACCATTTTCAGATCCATATTGATTATAATATATATATATATATGTACATATATGTATATATATATATGTATATATTTGTATATGTATATATATATATACTCAATATTATCACCATATACCAGCATTTTTGTTGGTGAAAGTCACCCCTCAGACACCATGTCTTCACCTGCGGAGTCTTGGAGCCACCTGAGATGTCAAAGTCCATTGAAGGGTGGGATCCAGCTGGAGAACTTTTTTGCGGCGCGGATTTTCTTGGGATGGGAACGAGATGGGATGGGAATTTTCAGGGAACATTGACTCGCAAAGAGGGGAGAATTGATTTTTTAGTTTTTCAATGTTTTTCATGTACAATGCCACTTCGATGTGATGCGACTGTTGGGGATGTGATCGTTTTCTGCGCCGATTGATTCCAGTGCGCTGCTTTTCGCGTCAGTTTGAAAAGAAGCTGCTGTGACCAGTGCCTCGCAGGTTGAGATTCGATGGGGAGAAACCAGGCTTCCTCTTAGCCAGGAAAGTTGGAAACAGGGAATTTACCATCTGGTTATTTAACATAGCAATGGAAAATCACCATGTTTAATGGGAACATCAACTATTTCTATGGGCCATTTTCAATAGCTTTTTGTATGTTTACCAGAGGGTAACCAACAAAAAGGTACAATGGGGAAATCATGTGAGATTTTCTGGGCCTGATTTTCCTGGTGAGTCCAGCTTTCATATAGCCGGCTTGCCCAATTGGGATTGTTTTGTGGCGCAAAGGTCTAAGACTCTAAGAAGAAATCGTGTGCATTTTACTGTGTTTTTCATGAAATGCAACAAAGTCTTGCGTTAGATAGGCACTACAAGGGACAGCCTTGTTGCGATAGGCGTTCAGAAAGGCAGGCACAGAACGTATAGAAAGGAGCTGCCGGAAATGTCAGCATGATAAAACTGAATTCACTGACCAGATCCTGGCAGATTGGCGGACTGGTTGGAAACCCCACTGGTTGTGAAGAAACGAGGTCTGTGATTCTCTATAAAAGTGTGGCTGAAAAAGGAGGATGCAAGTGAGCCAGCGATGGCACTCGGGGCACTTCGTAGAACTATTTCTCAAAATGTGGTACACCATTTGACAATTCACATCAAACAGCAGATTCGATTCGATTCCCAGAGTTCAGAATCAAGATGGTCAAGCACAGAATTTTTATTGTGCAGCTTGCACATTTGCACATTTTAGAGAAGTGGAACCACATTTCCATGGATTAGTTGACTCTCTGACCCTGGGATGTCTTGTGACCTGTTCTCTTCGGGTAGCCGCCTTGTGCCAGTCGCCATGTAGCGGCTCGCGCAGAACTTCAACTAGGCCGACTCCACCAAAAGTATCACGAAAGTAAATTGACATTGGAAGATATTCCATATATTCCCCATATATTCCCATATCTTACATTATGATACTGATATATATATATATTATATAGACATGTTATATATATATATTATATAGACATGTTATATATATATATTATATTATATTATATCATATTATATTATATTATATTATATTATATTATATTACATTATATTATGTTATGTTATATTACAAACATATATATATATATGTCTACTACATCTCCAACCATCTCCGCGTCGCAGGTCATGGCAGACGAAGCTGCTGCGGAGCCTGCGAAGCCCGCGGAGCCTGTGGAGCCTGCGGTTGCGCCAGCTGCAGCGGAGCCAGCTGCGGCGCCCGAAGTCAATGCTGCGTCCGAGGCCGTTTGGCGCACGAAACCTACGAAACGGGTGGTTTATTTCAGATATGATTAGCAGTTCGTTGTATACACAATATGATGATATGGTTTGTGCATTGCTAAAAAACTACATATGGTGATTTATTTTCATTTATGATACATATATTTTTTATGTGTAGTAGCATTAGCTTATGATACTTATGATACCCTAAGTACAATGATGTTTCAATATATGACATCATACCCCCCAGTTATAAGTTGGTTTAGATTCGCCCCAGTAACTATAGTTATTTGCGTACCATAAACCATAGTGAAATGGGAGTTATAAACCACTTAATGCTGCTGGCTTGATGGAAAAAATCCATCGCCAAAAAATTGTGGTGGGATGCGGCGGATCAAACACCAAACCGATTCCCTGTGTAGCGCAGGACCTACGTAGCGCAGGACGCATTCATTTCGGGGTTCCATTTAGATCCATTTTTTGGGGAATCTAGTCTTGTTTTGGGATGGGATTTTGTTTTTTTTTTTGCGGAGACATCCAATTTTGGTTGGCTGATCCCTGTCAAGGGATTCACGGTGACTCTTCAGTGGCCAAACATTGGGCAGGCTCCGCTTTGCTCAGCAAAGGAATCGGAGAAAGGCAGAAAAAGGGTTTAGGGAATCTGTTTGTATATATATAATATCATATATAATATCATATATAATATCATATATAATATCATATATAATATCATATATAATATCATATATAAGTAGCCTCTTCTTTTTCTTTCCGACAGCTGGTGACATGTTTCAATGAACTTTTTTTCTTTAATGCGGTGAATGAAGCAACAAACACGGGAATGAGAATTGGTTGGCTTCAATGAAATGATGATGGACAGTGTTTGTGGGTCCAGGATTTTCATTGTTTAGGATCCAAAAACAATCTGGGCAAACATGCATAAATTTTGGGAAGCAGACATATAGAAACTTGAGGTCTCCAAATTTGTTGGTAAGATCCAAAAATCTTGACAGTTTCCAACAAATTTCCAACAAAACTTGTCAAATTTCCAACTGTGGAAACTGTCAAACTTGTGGATCTTATTTCCACAGTTTCCCTGTGCCTTTTGACAGTTTTGACCATGGTTGGTCAGTGCCATTGCAGGTGCAGAGCAGACCACTGGCAAAGTTGAGGAGGCGGCAACCGGCGTTCCAGGAATCGAAAGTGGGTTATATATACATATACATACATATATATATACATATACATATACATACCCGATGAATCCCTTCCCCTAATATTTTCAACACCCACATAAATTACCTGGCTGAATCAGCCACGGAGATTCTGGGTGATTTCAGCATGGGATATGAATGGGGATATCTTGGAATACAGTACCCTCTGGTTATGTGAAAATAGTGACTTAATGGGATTTTATAGTGATTTTATAGTGATTCAATGGGATGTAAATGGAATATACCCTCTGGTTATGTCAATATAGTTATTACCCATGAAATACCCTATGGTTTCATATGGTTTATAGGGATGATAATGGGATAATCATGGGATAATACTGGGATATTCATGGATATAGCCTCTGGTAATGACTAACTGACATAGCTATTGAAAATGGCCCATTGAAATAGTGGATTTACCCATTGATAGCATGGTAATTTTTGTTCGTTATGTAAACGTTTACCAGAGGGTAACCAACTTGATATGAGAATTCTCCGAATTTTTTTCCTTTATGAGATACCCTCTGGTAAACTAACATAACTATGAAAAATCACCATGTCTAATGGGAAAATCAACTATAAATGGCAATTTTCAATAGCTTTTTGTATGTTTACCAGAGGGTAGACCTCAGATAGATCCACACCCACATCGCGACATCTCGTCTGCCAGACCAAAAAGATGGTCTCTCCCAGTGCGTCTCGAAGTTTGGGGGCCCCAGTCATGGTCATGGCATTTTTGATGGGAAACAAGACCATACCCTCTGGTGAACTAACATAACTATGGAAAATGGCCATTAATAGTGGATTTTCCCATTAAAAATGGTGATTTTCCATTGCTATGTTAGTTCACCAGAGGGTAATAGGAAGAACATATGGTCTGTTTTATCGTTATTTTATGGCATTCCATGGAACAGTTCGTGGGATAGCTGGGCGATAGCTGGGCCCAAAGCCCTTTCAGATGGATCATCTGGGATGGATCATGAGTGCCATGGTCCACTGAAGCGATCTGTTTTTGGGGTGAAAAATCCCCCAAGAAATATCAGAAATCTGCATCTTGGGTGTCCTCTCAGTTTGTCAGTGGTTCCCCATTGGTCAAACATCTTCGATGATTTTCCCAGCTACAAAACTCCATATGTTCCCATAGGATTCCCCGGCCATTTTTCATTGGAGGGTAAAGCCAATAATAAAGCCCTAATTGAGTGGTACACCCAATTAACCCAATCAGAAACGCACACGAAACGCACACGAAACGCACAGATCAAAGGGCCCGCCGATCGCTTTGACCCAAGTTGGGAGCCTGAACTTGTTTCAAGTCCGATTTTCTTGTTGCTTCCATGGTGCAAAAACATATGGAAGGTGGCATAAAGTCCGACAAACAAATCCTCTGGTAATGACTAACATAACTATGGAAAATCACCATAGAAAGTTCGTGAATTTTCCCATGAAAATAGCATTAAAAATGGTGGATCTTTCCAGTTCGTTATGTGAACGTTTACCAGAGGGTAAGTGAAATCACCATTAATCACCATTAATTTACCATTAATTTACCATCATTAGCCATCATGAATCATCATTAATCACCATGAATCACCATGAAATCTGCAAATGGGGGGTTGCTCTACCCCCATTTGGTGAAGTCCACTCCACGTCTCGAGTCTCGGAACCCGCGTCGGGTCTCCGAACCGTGGAGGTCAAGGGCCAAAGACCCGGCGCGACCGTCGGAAGAAGAGAAGTCTGGGGTCGCAGTGCGGCACCGCAACGAGATCTCGCGGGGTTTGGGGAGAAGAAATAGCCTCTGGTTATGTGAAAATAGTGATTTAATGGGATTTTATAGTGATTTTATAGTGATTCAATGGGATGTTAATGGGATGTTAATGGGATATACCCTCTGATTATGTCAATATAGTTATTACCCATGAAATACCCTATGGCCCTATGGTTTCATATGGTTTATAGGGATGATAATGGGATAATCATGGGATAATACTGGGATATTGATACATATAGCCTCTGGTAATGACTAACTGACATAGCTATTGAAAATGGCCCATTGAAATAGTGGATTTACCCATTGATAGCATGATGATTTTCCAGTTCGCTATGTTAAATTACCAGAGGGTACATGGAACTGTGAACAACAATGGGATAGAATGAAAACAAAAAAACAAAAAGTTAAAGATAGAGAAGGGATTTATCACTACCTTGGTCGAATTTTCTGTTCTATCTTTTTGAGTATTAATTAATTAGTTTCTCTACATTTGTTTGTGAAGACACGCTGATTTCGGTCTGCGTCATTCGATTCTTCTCATGATCCCAAGTGTCTGTTTCTTCTGCCCAACTTGGGCAGAGAGATTGGTACATGTCCTTCTCTGGGTGGGTTTGGTGAAGGTGTTTTTTTGAGATGATGAGTATGACATCCATGTTCATGGGTCCTTTGTGACTAATTAGGCATTTTGTTATATACCATTTTCTACCTGATGATATCTCCATTTTGATTGATGATACCTGGGACCACCACTTTTTTCAGTGCAAAACATGACTCTTCACTTGGCAATTGAGACAACAAGTGGCACGAGGGAAGGCATGATACCAACAGATATGGCTTAGGCAGGGTCCGAACCACTAAATGGGATGCTCCACCAAGTATACAGTAAGTCATGTGGCCATGGCTGTGAATATTCCGGTCAAATTGGGCGGGTCAATTTTGGATTTACCCTCTCACCAATTCGCCTCCAGCAATTTAATGTAGATTTACTGTAGATTAGTTTCCGAAGCGGAAACCCATGGGTTTTACATATATGTGTAGGAAATCCATGGAAATACCACAGGGTATATGGGGGTCTCTGACAGGGGAAAACCATCCCCCGGATCAGACAGACCAGGTCCTCAGAAGACCTCAGGTGCGAGTGTGAGTGGTGGATAGGATGCCTGAAAAGGCGGTAAATTACAAACATCTGTTTTTTTGAAGGGGGTGATTAAACTCTAGATTGCGGTTGTACAAGTTGTACATCATTTAATAGGAGATAGCTGCCTGCAACAAACCAGATCACTGCCCGAACTATCGCACAGAAAAATGGGGTTGTCTGAAAACAGAGTAACTGCCCTCTGCACTCCATGGTTTGGCAGGTCGGCGGGACAAAAATCCTGCCCGCAGTCGGCGTGGTCGACTTCCATCAGGCGCAACGACATATGGAGATGGGTCAAAAAGGGTGTTTTAACCCTTAACCTTAACCCCTGCATGGCAATCTTTATAGGGAAACTGATGGGGTTCACCATGACATTTTTCTTTTTTTTAACCTTCGGTTTTCAGACAAAGCCATGTGGCGATGGTCCAAGAGCACTGGAGTATGACCAACCAGGGAAGAAAAACGGCGGTGGTTTCGTAGCGATGGGGGATTTTTACCAAAGAAACAGACCGTTGTTTTTTTCGCAACAAAAAAAGGGGTACAGCATGACAGCATTTTTTTTAGAAATGGACGCCATTGATAAAAAATGGCCCATTTTTTAGTTCAATGATTTAGCTAACGTGGTGATCTTCCATAGCTATGATAGCTATGTCAAATTACCAGAGGCTGCAGCATCTATCACTTCCTGCTGGATGTTTTTTCGATGGGTCCAGGCCCGGCCAACCAACCCTCCAACATGGTGGCTGGACCCATCGTGCGTGTAGGGGAGCTCGGATGACCTTTTTGTGGAGTGGCAAGATGGAGGTGGGTTTCTTTTCACCTCTGAGGTTTAACGTAGCTCTGCAAAAATGACCATTTTGGAGGGGTAAATCAGGATAGATTGTCTATACATGGGCCATAAAATATGGTAAAATGTCTGTGTAATGGATAGATGCTGGAATTGTTTTCGCTTGGGTATCTGTAGATAGTTAGTATATCGTATATTTAGCCAGATTGGTTGTTATAGTGGAGCCTCCAGGATGGAAAAGCGATCTACAGCTACGGCAACTATGATCCGTGCGCCGTGGGAATGTCTACAGAGTCTGGGTTTCTGATTCCACACTTCCCAATTGAGGTATATCTACAGATATCTGCATATATGTTTATCTATATCTCTGGATCATTTAGATCATCTATATCTACGCAGGGAACTTGCAGAATCCCTCCTGGTATCTCTTCTTCCAGAGACCACCTTGAGAATGAACACCATGTTTTCACTACTATGGCCGCTTTTGTCCTGCTAGCTTGCAGCCACTGATGCTTTTGGGCCCTTTCCACCTTTCCCTTTAGAATCCTAACTACACACTGTTTGGGGCCCCGTGCCAGGATAACTGAATGGTAAATGCCATTCAAAAACACGCTCGGCATAACTTAGGCATGACATTGTTGTTTCCCTGCGCCCTCAGGGTTTGAAAAAAATGCAGTGAAGATCACATTCTGCTGAAGTTTTGGAAGCTAGGACTTCATGTTTCCTTGGCTGTAATTCTGCGATAGCATGTTAGAATCAACAACGAACAGTCGATTTCTGTTCTATTTTGTTTTCCTGAAGACCTGGCTTCCAAAGTTTCTTAGTAAAACTTGGGGTCAGGGGGTGGCGTTGAATCATGAGTGATGCTTGCAGAATTGAAATCCATTTGATTATCTACATCCATATATATATATGTAACTAAATAAATAATTAATTAATTAAATCAATAAATGAATACATACATATATATATATATAACATACGTATGTATGTTTATATCTATATTTATCTGTGTATAAATACCAAAACAACACTCTGTACTAGGTTCGCCAGCTGCCAAGCGCTTGGCACAGGTACTACAAGCATCGTTTCGATCGCTGCGCTGAGGTAGATCCCAGGATCCAGGCTCCGCGGAAGTTGATTAAAACCCATTAAAAATGGTGAATCTTTCAATAGCTATGTACATAATCTATGGTTAATCTATGGTTAATCTATGGTTAATCTATGGTTAATCTATGGTTAATCTATGGTTAATCTATGGTTACATAAACGAACATATGGTGATGTTTTGAACAAAAACACTGGTGTTTTTATGGTGATTGAAGAATGTTTTTTGCTTGTTTTTCTTGTGATTTTTAAGACAAGTGATGTTCAAATTACCAGAGGGTAAACCATAGAAAAAAATGATGGATGCTGTTGACGATCCATTTCCTTTACAAAAATGCCCCAAACGAACCAAGAGATGTCCGGCTCCAGGTGATGTGCTCTCGGGATGTCTCCCAATTCATGTGTCTTCAATCATCAGTTTGCCATGGTCGTGGTGATGATCCTTCCGGCTGTTCGCCTTTGTGCGTGTCTTCCATCATTTGTTTCTCACTTCATTTGTCTCCCCATTCATATATATCTCCGTAGTGGCGGTGTCTTGTTCTTGTTTCATTGCGTTTTAATAATAGCGTCTTCCTGTTGTCTCAAGAGTTACACGATAGCATAGACCCCAGATAGCAATAACATGAAAAAGTGTTGCTTGACAAACTTCATGCTGTTCTCCGTTGAGATGGACTCAAGTTTGTCAACATCACGAGCGCGCAGATGACCACAAACATGCACGCAGATGCTGCAATGGATATGTAAAACTGTTTGGGGTCTACCGGGGTGGATTTTTTCGTTTGGATTTTCGAACGGTTTATCTCGGCTTCTGTTCGATCTTTTGTGCAAATCCACTTAGGGATGCAACGGTTTTCCACCATTGACAGAATGGGGGTGATCAAAACTTAGGGTAGACCACCTACACCAAGTAACTTACTAAGTAACCCCATTTTTTTGTGTCATTCATTTTGGGCAGTACACCAGCAGCACGGTTGGGGCAGATCTTTTGCGTTTCTCAGCCGAACTCTCGGATGAGAACGGTGCCGAAAAGCTTGAAACGATCGTCCCAGGACACCGGTATAGGTGAAATAGCAGCAAACATCTGGTTGGTGGTTGGTGGTTATAAATGGTGATTCATAGTGATTAATGATGATTAATGGTACTGATTAATGATCTGGTTGGTGGTGACTGGAACATTGTTTCCTGGTTCATCTATGGTTAATCTATGGTTAATCTATGGTTAATCTATGGTTAATCTATGGTTAATCTATGGTCAATAATGGTGAATAATTGGAATAACAATATATCTGGTTGGTGGTGACTGGAACCATGGAATTTTATGACTTTCCATTCAGTTGGGAATGTCATCATCACTGACCAAATCATATTTTTCAGAGGGGTAGGGCTCAACCAGCAACCAGTCAGAAATAGAATTTCTGCGCATTTCTTGGGTGTGACCCTCCATGTTGACTCCCATAGATCTCGCCAGTTGCAGGCGCTACTTCAATTCTGCGGCACCGATATCTTCACTGACAAGGCAGGTGGACAGGTGAGGTGCTGTAGCACAAAAGATTTGGGGTATTGGTTGAATGATGGTTTAAATGTGTTATATTGGGTTTGTAATGGATTATAGATGGGTTTATAATGGATCATAAATGTGTTAAACCCCATTATGGATTAAAACAATGGCTAAACAATTGGGATATGATGGGCCAATCATCTATCACCGGAGGTTTATGATCTTTGCTTTAATCATCCAGTTTTTTGCAACACCTTTTGACCCATCACCATTTTCTGTCGCTTCCATTGAAGTTCGAGTGGCCTGCTGGGTGCGATCGATGGGATGATCATCTCCTATGGCGGGATGACCAGGGGACCCATGAATTCCCATGTGGACCAGTTACAATGGCGCCCACAACTTTTTGATCATATGAATGGTAGCTGTTTATGATAGCTGCATGATAACTATGGAAGCTGGTAACATGGAATATGTTAGATGATCATAGCTTGTAACAATGATCATATGACATGTTTTTGTGTGTTTCTATGATTCAGCTGTATCTGGAGAAAAACTCACACTGCTACGCAACTGGAAAGGTGGTACTGGATGTGGGATGCAACTCAGGCGCTGCCGAAGTCATGGCTAGTCATTTTGGATCCACAGATCCATTGTCCACTGCTTTGAAGTCGTAGCAGGCACTGAGGCACTGACTCGTAACAACAGCATGGCCCCACATAACTAGTCGAAGGCCTTGGAAAGCACATGTTTTTACAAGGTCAATGCCAATGCCAACTAACAGACAAGTCTTGGGCCTCAATTTTGTCAGTCGATTTTTTCGCTTCATTTTTGGGTCGCCCTTTGTCAGTCGACAGGTTTCATCACCTTCCTGGTAGCAGCCTTGGGAGCACGACGCGTGGAGGGTGTGGACGTGGATCTAAGCCTCATCACTCGTGCGCTGAAGTCTGGATTCCCGGATCCGGGGGTCATGGGGGCTGAAGCCGCCATCATTCAATGGCACAAGTATCATATCATTGACTCATATAATGACCTATGGCATTCTATGGATGAAGTTAAATAGTCTCATTTATAACACTTTGTTTATAATTCTATAATAGTTTGTTTATAACCCCAATATATCATACCCCCAACTAACTATAGATATATCCACCGTAAACCCCCGGCAGCCGGCATCGCCGGCATCGGGCTTTCGTCGAAGGCATCTGAGATGGTTGAAGCAGAAGGGCTACAAGACGATGTGACTTCCCCAGGGACATGCGATGCATTTTTTTTAAAATCACATCATGTCATCATGTAACGTATGGCATGATAGTAACTGAGTAACCAAATGTAACCAAGAATTTTGAGATTTGAGGAACTTACAATTTGAAAATCAAGTTTCGCCTGGGATTTTGCCAATTGCATCTTTGACATGTACCAGGCCCGAAGTGCCAGAGGAAGGGACTGAAAGTCCGGACGCCGACATGATGGATGTTGGGTCAAACTCGGGGACCGCCAGATACGATGTCTATCTGATTCTATCTCATTTTTGCATACCAAATTCAGTGGTTTCAAAAGGGTGTCAACTTAGAAATTGGAAGAATTTTTCAACACGAGAATCATAATTTCGTGTCTGGCTCCAAAAGCGTGTCAAGCTCAAAGAGCAGTGAACCCCCAGAAACATCACGAAGAATGGATTTGTGAAGACCTATCCTATCTCACATGACTTTCCCAGGGCACCTGACAGATTGCACCAGGCAAGACACCCAAAGAGCGGTCGATTACATAACCCGGCGAGAATCCACCAATTTTATCCATTGAAAAAAATGATTTCTTTGGCTCAAACCTCCGTATTGAAGATGGAAAAAAAATCCAGAAACCCACCATTTTTTCTTCGCAGATTTTCACCAGTGGCATTTGTTGATGACTTCCCAGTATCCATTCATCAACGAGAATCCCCCTTCGCCCGAGGTGACAAACCTTGGCATCAAGAACAGTTGGGGGATCCCAATAATTTTTCGGTCGGGCTTTCCGTTCGGACAATGGTGGATTTTAGCCTCCTTGGTTATATGGATTTGTCTGAAAATCATGATCAACTCCAACTATTATAATGATCAATAGACTCCCAAAAATGATTCTATATTATAATTGATCAATAGTTGGATTAATCATTATATTCCAACTATTTTTAGATTCCAAGTACCCCTAAGTCCAGATTAATCATAATTTTTCCTTTTTTCATGGCTTGGAGGTACAACATATTTACAGACAAAGCCATATCTAACGATTTGATATGGCTGATATCCATGGTGATTTATCATGGTTTTCCAGTGTACACTGGTAATAGTTAATGGCGTATACTATGAAAATCACTATTCATGGTTATATCAATTATTAATAAAACACATGGTTACATGACTAACTGTACATACTAACTATACATGGTTAAAACATCTATAAAAATCACCTATTAACTATTGGCTAGCCCAGATTTTTTTAAGGGATAAAAAAATTGACATGGCTAGCCGAAATCCCATGAAATCCAGGCCGGTTTGCGGTTTGCCCGTTTCCGTTTTTGCCACGTTTACCAAGAGGGAGGTTCTTGTATTTCCATCTATTTCCCATTTTCAACAGCTGATTTTTGGGGGTATGGCATGTGCCGCATTTTCATTCACACTGTTGTTTTTCGGATTCGGTGTAGAAACTCTAATCTACCCTCTGGTTATTTGTTACATAGCCATGGTTTTTAGATGGCCCTAATCGAAATAGATGGTTTACCTATTAATAGCATGGTGATTTTCCATGGCGAACTGTGAATGTCATAACCAGGTTGGGTATTAGTGCCATGGTCCACACGAATGGTTGAGTGCCATTTTCCCATGAGAAAAATGGGATGATCGTCCCATTGAGAGCAGCCCACATGCCAAGAATCACCAAAATGGCAGGACAATACCCTCTGGTTATGTCAAACATAGCTATTGAATTGACATGCTGACACAATTTTGTGCCAAAACAAAAAAAATGCCCTGAAGCAGGGCGCCGTGGAAATGGATTCGCGGAGAAACGAAAAACGAACCGGGGCCGTTGTGGAACAACTCGGCGACCACCTGCACCGCCCAGTGGTACATCAATGTCTACTGTCAGGATGTTTGGTTTTTTTCCTGGTAAACGGGCAGGTTCAGAAAACGGAAAAATGGCCATTTATAGTGGATTTAGCCATTAAAAATGGTGAATGGAGTATGAAATAGCTGGTGTTTTGTAGCCGTTTGGCTGTGCTCTCAAGGACAACGTGGTGTGTGTCGCTTAAATCCACCGGTTCTGAGGTACGCAGTGAGTTGTGTGCAAGGTACGGTTCCTCAGCCCGTGGTTCCTCATGAGAATCGACTGGATCTTAATCTCTGAGAAGGTACCGATTCCATATATTTTTGGCCTATTTTTTAGGCCTATTTTTGAGGGAATATCCCCAGAAAATATGGCCTAAAAAATGGTACGTTTACGTACCTCCATCAATTGGATCCTGAAATTACCATTGATCAGGACTCCAAACGGATCAGAAAACTTCATGATGAGATTCATCCCCAGCAATGACACCTTGATTTACTTTTCCCATAAAAAACCTGGATCACCCGGAATCGATGAATCCAGCCGCTTGGCGCGCAAAACACAGGTCGTGGCCATATCCCTTACCATGCCAAGCCTTTGAAAGCAGGAACCACTTGGGGCATCTTGGGGCACTGAGCATTTGGATGTCCCATGATGTCCCCATGGAAAAAGACTCATTCCCCAACATGGAATACCATGGAATACCATGGAATAGCCACAACAAAAACATGGGATCCCAACATGAAGCGATTCACGATGAATCGTCGATACAAGCTTGGATGGCTCCGCAAAAGATGATGAGATGGGACGATGATCCCCAATGACTTTCATCAAAAATTGGGGGAACTCAACTATATATATATATATATGTAAACCCAAGCAGATAATGGTTTATTGTTGGTTACATCCCATTAGATCATTAGATCCTCATTATATATATATATATATCTATATTATATATAGAATGGGCTAGCGCCCAGGTGCCGCCGGCCCCCCTTTATTTGGGGGGGACTGTGGAGAGAGAGAGAGAGAGAGAGAGAGAGAGAGAGGGAGAGAGAGAGAGAGAGAGAGAGAGAGAGGAGAGGGAGAGATGGATGGATGGATAGATGGATGGGGATGGATGGATGGATGGATGGATGGACGGATGGACGGATGGATGGATGGATGGATAGATAGATAGACAGACAGACAGACAGGTAGACATGTGAATAGATGATAGATTGATGGATAGATAGGGGGATAGAGAGAGAGAGAGATAGATTGATAGATAGGTAGATAGACAGCTTGATAAACAGGTGGATAGATATTGTTGGACAGATGTATAGATAGAGGGACAGAGAGAGAGAGAGAGAGGGAGAGAGAGAGAAAGAGAGAGAGAGAGAGATAGATGACAGATAGGTAGATAGACAGTTGGATAAACAGATGGATAGATCGATTGTTGGATAGATAGATAGTGGCATAGGAAGAAAGACGGATGGATTGATATATACTTTGAGTGTCAAGGACCCTCCGTTTTTAGGACTGTCATTGTAACCTCATGTTTTTTCCTGCCTGCTGCTGGCTGCTGGTGCTGGCTGCTGCCTGCTGCTGCCTACTCCTGCTGCTGCAGAGGCTTTTGCTGCTGGTGCTGGCTGCTGCCTGCTGCTGCCTACTCCTGCTGCTGCAGAAGCTTTTGCTGCTGCTGCTGCTGCTGGTCCCCGGATGGGAAAACACCTGGCCCTGGGGTGCCTGTTGGCGGAAGTTGCCTTGGCCCTAGGGTGCATGTTGGGGAAGGTGTTTGGAATTTTGGAAGTTTGGATCCTTTGCAGGCTGGCAAACGGCAGCTTTGAGGCCCATAGAAAGTCATTGCTGTGGATCTGAGGTGCCTGCTGGGGACGGTGTTTGTTGGGGAAGGTGTTTGGAATTTTGGAAGTTTGGATCCTTTGCAGGCTGGCAAACTGCAGCTTTGAGGCCCATGGAAAAGCGTTTGGAGGGTTTGGAGGGTTTGGAGAGTTTTGGAGGGTTTGCGGGCTGGCAAACGGCAGCTTTGAAAGCCTAAGAAAGCTAGCTTTGAAAGCCCATAGAAAGCCATTGCTGTGGCCTGGCCCTGGGGTGCCTGTTGGGGAAGTGGCCTTGGCCCTAGGGTGCATGTTGGGGAAGGTGTTTGGAATTTTGGAAGTTTGGATCCTTTGCAGGCTGGCACACTGCAGCTTTGAAGCCCATAGAAAGTCATTGCTGTGGCCCTGGCCCCCTGTTAAGGAAGGTGTTTGGAATTTTAGAGGGGTTGCAGCCTTTGCGGGCTGGCAAACGGCAGCTTTGAGGCCCATAGAAAGTCATTGCTGTGGATCTGAGGTGCCTGCTGGGGACGGTGTTTGGAGGGTTTGGCAGGTTTTGGATGGTTTGGAGCGTTTGGAGGGTTTGGAGGGTTTGGAGAGTTTTGGAGGGTTTGCGGGCTGGCAAACGGCAGCTTTGAAAGCCTGGAAAGCCAGCTTTGAAAGCCCATAGAAAGCCATTGCTGTGGCCTGGCCCTGGGGTGCCTGTTGGGGAAGTGGCCTTGGCCCTAGGGTGCATGTTGGGGAAGGTGTTTGGAATTTTGGAAGTTTGGATCCTTTGCAGGCTGGCAAACTGCAGCTTTGAGGCCCATAGAAAGTCATTGCTGTGGCCCTGGCCCCCTGTTAAGGAAGGTGTTTGGAATTTTAGAGGGGTTGCAGCCTTTGCGGGCTGGCAAACGGCAGCTTTGAGGCCCATAGAAAGTCATTGCTGTGGGTCTGAGGTGCCTGCTGGGGACGGTGTTTGGAGGGTTTGGCAGGTTTTGGATGGTTTGGAGCGTTTGGAGGGTTTGGAGGGTTTGGAGAGTTTTGGAGGGTTTGCGGGCTGGCAAACGGCAGCTTTGAAAGCCTAAGAAAGCCATTGCTGTGGCCTGGCCCTGGGGTGCCTGTTGGGGAAGTTGCCTTGGCCCTAGGGTGCATGTTGGGGAAGGTGTTTGGAATTTTGGAAGTTTGGATCCTTTGCAGGCTGGCAAACTGCAGCTTTGAGGCCCATAGAAAGTCATTGCTGTGGATCTGAGGTGCCTGCTGGGGACGGTGTTTGGAGGGTTGGAGCGTTTGGAGGGTTTGGAGAGTTTTGGAGGGTTTGCGGGCTGGCAAACGGCAGCTTTGAAAGCCTAAGAAAGCCATTGCTGTGGCCTGGCCCTGGGGTGCCTGTTGGGGAAGTTGCCTTGGCCCTAGGGTGCATGTTGGGGAAGGGGTTTGGAATTTTGGAAGTTTGGATCCTTTGCAGGCTGCAAACGGCAGCTTTGAGGCACAAGAAACATAGAAAAGTCATTGCTGTGGATCTGAGGTGCCTGATGGGGCGGTGTTTGGAGGTTTGGCAGTTCAGGTTTTTGGAGGGTTTGGAGCGTTTGGATGGGGTTGGGAGGGTTGGAGAGTTTTGGAGGGTTTGCGGGCTGGCAACGGCAGCTTTGAAAGCCTAAGAAAGCCAGCTTTGAAAGCCAATAGGAAGCCATGCTGTGGCCTGGCCCTGGGGTGCCTGTTGGGGAAGTGGCCTTGGCCCTAGGGTGCATGTTAGGGAAGGTGTTTGGAATTTTGGAAGTTTGGATCCTTTGCAGGCTGGCAAACTGCAGCTTTGAGGCCCATGGAAAGTCATTGCTGTGGCCCTGGCCCCCCAAACTGCAGCTTTTAGGCCCATAGAAAGTCATTGCTGTGGCCCTGGCCCCCTGTTAAGGCAGCTTTGAAAGCATCAAGAAAGTCATTGCTGTGGATCTGAGGTGCCTGCTGGGGACGGTGTTTGGAGGGTTTGGCAGGTTTAGGAGGGTTTGGAGCGTTTGGAGGGTTTGGAGCGTTTGGAGAGTTTTGGAGAGTTTTGGAGGGTTTGCGGGCTGGCAAACGGCAGCTTTGAAAGCCTAAGAAAGCCATTGCTGTGGCCTGGCCCTGGGGTGCCTGTTGGGGAAGTGGCCTTGGCCCTAGGGTGCATGTTGGGGAAGGTGTTTGGAATTTTGGAAGTTTGGATCCTTTGCAGGCTGGCAAACTGCAGCTTTGAGGCCCATAGAAGTCATTGCTGTGGCCCTGGCCTCTGTTAAGGCAGCTTTGAAAGCATCAAGAAAGTCATTGCTGTGGATCTGAGGTGCCTGCTGGGGACGGTGTTTGTTGGGGAAGGTGTTTGGAATTTTGGAAGTTTGGATCCTTTGCAGGCTGGCAAACTGCAGCTTTGAGGCCCATGGAAAGTCATTGCTGTGGCCCTGGCCCCCCAAACTGCAGCTTTGAGGCCCATAGAAAGTCATTGCTGTGGCCCTGGCCCCCTGTTAAGGCAGCCTTGAAAGCATCAAGAAAGTCATTGCTGTGGATCTGAGGTGCCTGCTGGGGACGGTGTTTGGAGGGTTTGGCGGGTTTAGGAGGGTTTGGAGCGTTTGGAGGGTTTGGAGGGGTTGGAGAGGTTTGGAGAGTTTTGGAGGGGTTGCGGGCTGGCAAACGGCAGCTTTGAAAGCCTAAGAAAGCCATTGCTGTGGCCTGGCCCTGGGGTGCCTGTTGGGGAAGTTGCCTTGGCCCTAGGGTGCATGTTGGGGAAGGTGTTTGGAATTTTGGAAGTTTGGATCCTTTGCAGGCTGGCAAACGGCAGCTTTGAGGCCCATAGAAAGTCATTGCTGTGGATCTGAGGTGCCTGCTGGGGACGGTGTTTGGAGGGTTTGGCAGGTTTTGGAGGGTTTGGAGGGCTTGGAGAGTTTTGGAGGGTTTGCGGGCTGGCAAACGGCAGCTTTGAAAGCCTAGGAAAGCCAGCTTTGAAAGCCCATAGAAAGCCATTGCTGTGGCCTGGCCCTGGGGTGCCTGTTGGGGAAGTGGCCTTGGCCCTAGGGTGCATGTTGGGGAAGGTGTTTGGAATTTTGGAAGTTTAGATCCTTTGCAGGCTGGCAAACTGCAGCTTTGAGGCCCATGGAAAGTCATTGCTGTGGCCCTGGCCCCCCAAACTGCAGCTTTGAGGCCCATAGAAAGTCATTGCTGTGGCCCTGGCCCCCTGTTAAGGCAGCTTTGAAAGCATCAAGAAAGTCACTGCTGTGGATCTGAGGTGCCTGCTGGGGACGGTGTTTGGAGGGTTTGGCGGGTTTTGGAGGGTTTGGAGCGTTTGGAGGGTTTGGAGAGTTTTGGAGGGTTTGCGGGCTGGCAAACGGCAGCTTTGCAAGCCTAAGAAAGCCATTGCTGTGGCCTGGCCCTGGGGTGCCTGTTTGGAGGGTTTGGAGCGTTTGGAGGGTTTGGAGAGTTTTGGATGGTTTGCGGGCTGGCAAACGGCAGTTTTGAAAGCCTAAGAAAGCCATTGCTGTGGCCTGGCCCTGGGGTTTGAAAGCATCAAGAAAGTCATTGCTGTGGATCTGAGGTGCCTGCTGGGGACGGTGTTTGGAGGGTTTGGCGGGTTTTGGAAGGTTTGGAGCGTTTGGAGCGTTTGGAGAGTTTTGGAGGGTTTGCGGGCTGGCAAACGGCAGCTTTGAAAGCCTAAGAAAGCCATTGCTGTGGCCTGGCCCTGGGGTGCCTGTTGGGGAAGTTGCCTTGGCCCTAGGGAGCATGTTGGGGAAGGTGTTTGGAATTTTGGAAGTTTGGATCCTTTGCAGGCTGGCAAACGGCAGCTTTGAGGCCCATAGAAAGTCATTGCTGTGGATCTGAGGTGCCTGCTGTGGACGGTGTTTGGAGGGTTTGGCAGGTTTTGGAGGGTTTGGAGCGTTTGGAGCGTTTGGAGGGTTTGGAGAGTTTTGGAGGGTTTGCGGGCTGGCAAACGGCAGCTTTGAAAGCCTAAGAAAGCCATTGCTGTGGCCTGGCCCTGGGGTGCCTGTTGGGGAAGTGGCCTTGGCCCTAGGGTGCATGTTGGGGAAGGTGTTTGGAATTTTGGAAGTTTGGATCCTTTGCAGGCTGGCAAACTGCAGCTTTGAGGCCCATAGAAAGTCATTGCTGTGGCCCTGGCCTCTGTTAAGGCAGCTTTGAAAGCATCAAGAAAGTCATTGCTGTGGATCTGAGGTGCCTGCTGGGGACGGTGTTTGGAGGGTTTGGCGGGTTTGGAATTTTGTTTTGGAAAGTTTGGAGCCTTTGCGGGCTAGCAAACGGCAGCTTTGAAATTCATAAAAAGTCTCATTGCTGTGGCCCTGGCCCTGGGGTTTGGAATTTTGGAGGCGTTTGGAGCCTTTGCGGGCTGGCAAACGGCAGCTTTGAAAGCTCATAGAAAGTCATTGCTGTGGCCCTGGCCCTGGGGTGCCTGTTGGGGAAGCTGCTTAAGGGTAAAGGTTTGGAGGGTTTGAAAGAGGACAAGGTCCACACCTGCGGTGGTCCCAGGCGCCGCCCCGGCCTTGGCGAAGGCCGGGGTCGGCGGATATTGATAGTATATTTATAGTATATTGATAGTGTATTGATAATATACTGATAGTATATATTGATAGTATATAAATACAATATATACCATATGTTAAGACAGTATAGCATCAAACTATCGAAACTATGGGAGGCTCTCCGTGTTTCGTCCAGGATCAACGCGCCCAACGCGGACGGCTGGACGGCATTGCACCTGGCCGCCGCCACGCCGCATGCGGAACGCGGCCTTCGGGCGCGGGGGAGAGGATGGGGATGGGATGCCTCCATAATTCATGTATGTTATAATGTATTATATAATAATATATATATATAATAATATATATATTATATATATATATATATTATATCTTCTATATTACCCATAGGATCCATGTATGGTATATATGCTAACATTGGGGGTATATTGATGGTAAATGTTACCATATATAGCATACATGGATCCTAATTAACAGTTGGACCCTGAAAATTGGCAACTTATAGTGGGAACTAATCTGATTAGCCCGATGACTGGCAGGGTCTATGTTAATTTACTGGAGGGTATATTATATCTTCTATATTATGAGTAATATATTAGATATTATATATATTATATAATATTATATATATATATGATGGATTGTGTGTCTAGATCTTTCTAGTTTTATTACGCAACTATGCTTGCTATTTTGAAGGATGTGCCAACAATTGAACCTTTCCGGTGTTTAGATAGCTCTTAAAATAGTAAATGTCCACCCATTGCAGCCATGATTTCACGGCTGGGAATCTTACATCTATTGTGAAGGAGCAGGTGTCACTAGAATCTTTGAGTTTCACTTGAAACCAGAATATAAATAGCACATAAATATATTACATATGTATATATATATATATACATATATTGTGTTTTCCGACCCATACTTCCATTGTCATGTGCAATCCTTGATGCTCTGGGTCCTGACAACGTGTTGTCTGCATGCAGCCATAGGAAGGGAGACACTTGTTCCATCAGTGGAAATCTTGGCTCGGGGGGCCGTTAGAGGGCTTTTGGTACGGCGTGGGCGCCGTGGACGTTCAACTTGTCGCAGCCATAGAAAAGGCGCTTGGTGTGCTCAGGAGGGCACTTGGTTGAGATCATTTGGAAATAGCTACCTTTGCAGGGACTCTGCATTGGTAGCGGAGCCTACGGGCAGCCGCTTACCACTTTAGCAGTTTTTCAGTCGTGGTCCGAACTGTTTGAGCGGAAGCTGTCAGATCCAGGATGTCAGGGACAACTGCTGCGGGTGATGGAGCTGATCATCCGTCGGTACCTGGAACCCCGAATGCGTCTCTTTCGCATTTGCCATGGACCATGATACCACCATTCCGTCCAGGAGAGACGGACATCAACGAGTACACCAAGAAGCTGGAGTTCTTAGCAAGTTTGTGGCCGCCGGAGCACCTTTCTCATCTGGCACCACGTGCCGCTATGATGTGTGAGGGAAGTTCGTTTAAGCGGGTGATGCGCTTAGATGCAGCAAAGTTGAAGGTGAACAGCACCGATGGTGTTCGCTTGCTAGTGACGACTCTGGGTGGTATCTGGGGTAAGAGTACCCTAGAGGAAAAATTCGAAAGATTTGAAAGGGCCATTTACACCACTGTACAAAGACAGGACGAAGCCCACGAGAGCTATTTGGCCCGGCATGATTATCAGTTTGAAGAGCTTTTGCAAATGGGTGTCAAGTTTGAAGACATCAGGGCATACATTCTTTTGCGGAATTCCGGACTGGGAGCTGAAGACAAGAAGAAATTGATTGTCGATTCGCAGGGAGACCTTGAGTACAAAGCCATTGTTTCCTCATTGAAGCTCCTGGGTTCCAAGTTTTTCCATGAACTGCAATCCAACAGCAAGTTTCCCAATCGTGTCAAAACATATGATGTGAATGCTGTGTTTGAAGATGATTTGGGATCGTCAGCACTGGAAGATGAACAAGTGTTTGTTGGTGAAACATGGGATGATCCCGATCAGATCTATGACGAATCTGATCCCGATGCGGTAGTCTGCATGCAATTCGAAGAAAGCATTGTCGATGCCCTGCAAGCCGACTCTGACCTTGCAGCCTGCTACAATACTTACCTTGAGGCCCGAAAGAGAATCAGTGATCGTAATCGCAACAGGGGATTCTGGGGTAACTCCAAGGGGTTTAATAACTCTAAGGGTAAGAGCAAAGGCAAGGGCAAGTTCCAGATGCGGTACCGGAAACCGCTTGCACAGAGAATCCTTGAGTCTGAGTGCCGTAAGTGCGGTGCCAAAGGGCACTGGAAGGCCGAATGTCCTTTGAATCGCTCCAGTGCTGCCGGATCACAGCCACCGACCTCGTCCAATCCGGGTGCTTTCACGGGCACCGTCATGGGTGAGAATGACTTGACGTTGGAAAACGACATGGTCCTGCTCAATGAGGCCCAGGGTTCCAAAGTGTGTCCATGGTCAGTGTCCGAAAGACATGTTAACATGGTCATGTCCCAAGGTTCTCAGTCTTTGTCCCCGTCGGCATTGTCCAGGTTTGTGAGTTCCCTGAAGAGTCGCCTAAGCCCTCAACGGCCTGAATGTAGCCAGCCTGAACCGATGCCGGTCCGACCGGACCTAACTGCCGATGTCAATTTCGTCAGTCATGGCCCTTATGGGATTGTTGACCTAGGAGCCAGCCAAACTGTTATCGGCCAACAGCAGGTTTCTGAGTTGTTGCAATGTCTGCCCCCAGACATTGCACAGAAGACCCAAAGGGTGCCATGCACGACGGTGTTTCGTTTTGGAAACAGCAGCACGGTAGCTTGTCAGTATGCTTTGCTTGTGCCGTTGGCCCGATGGAATGTCAAGATCTGTGTTGTCCGATCTCAGACACCTTTTTTGATTTCCAATAATGTGTTTCGCACCTTAGGAGCCACCATCGACACAGCCAAAGACTCCGTGTTTTTCTCCGAGATTGGTGTTCACATGCCTCTGAAGCTGTCAGAAAAGAAGTTGTACCTACTTGACTTTTGTGAACTGATCCGTAGGAACATCCAGGCAGGTTCTCAGGTGTCAGTGCCAAGATCCGACCACATGAAGCCAGTGATGCATGTCTCCCAAGATAGTGACACCCAAACCCCCAACCATGAATGTGAGACATCCAAGGGCCTGAACATGTCCACTGTGTCAGACAGTATCACTCCGTCGGTCGAACAACAGCCGTTGGTTCCAGACTCGTTCAAAGCGGACCGTGATCTCAGAGAGCTCAGTGCACCGTCATCCCAACATCATGGCGACCACGAGCCTTGCCGATCGATTCCAAGCCTTGCAGGTGCAAAAGAAGACGGCCGAGTTCAGGGAGATGTCGTATGCAGACCTCTCCCAGATGCGCATCTCTTTTGGGGAGACCAAGGTCAATCAGACCTTCCTGGAGGTGATCGAAGGAGACCCAAAGTATGTGCAGTGGTTCGCCAAGAAGTATCAAGGGAGTCAGAAGGAGTCCCATCAGGCCTTTCTCTACTTCCTGAACCTCTACGTGGAGCGCAAAGAACTGGAATCGGAGAATGGAATTCCACAGGAAGTGATGCCGAGCAGTCAGCTCAAGTCCAAGGCGAAGGCCAAGCCGACTCCTCGCCTTCCGATGGATCAATGGAGCCAAGGCTCATGGTCGGAAGAGGAGACTCCATGGGATGCTGTGGCCGAGGATCATCACAAGACACTGCAGATTCAGGAAGAGATGGCGGAGAACACCCGTCGCATCAACAACATGGAGAATGCCCTGATGCAGATCACCCAACAGCTTCAGGTACTGACTCAGGTGGCAACCAATTCGAAGTCGAGCTCCTAGAAAACGGACTTCATGCCGAAGTCTTGCGATCGATGATGTGTGAAGACATGGGAGCCCACATGATGAAACATGATCCAACAGTTGTTCATGATCAAGAATTTTTTGATGACAAGGCTTACACTACAACGACTTGGTCCAACTGGGTAGCTGATGAAATGTGGGAATACTTTCATAAGAAATTTCCAAATCATCGATTGTCAGATCTTGAAGCCCACTTCTCACAGAGCAAGATTGATCTTTTGGAAGTCTACTGTTCAGAAAGTAGTCAACTCACACATCAATGCCAAGCTCTAGGGATGTCAGCAGCCCGTTTTGGACTGAAGCAAGGTGATTTGTCCACTTTTGCCGGACGTGCCAATCTGTACGATGTTCTGTGGGTGTTGCGACCCCGACATATCTGGACTTCCCCCAAATGTGGCCCGTGGTGTGCTTGGAGCAGATTGAACATGGCAAAATCCACCCACATGGAACGACAGATTCTCAAGAGCCGTCAGGCAGAGAAGGTTCACCTATGCCTGTGCGATGCCTTGCACAGTTTCCAATGCTGGCGTGGCCCTGTGTTCCACTTTCACTTGGAGCAACCACTTGGATCTGAGCTAGTTCACCAGGACGAGATGTGTAACATTGTGCATCACACTCTGAAAGCAATATGTGACATGTGTTCCGCAGGCCATTTGAAACATCCAGAGTATCACAATTTTTTGAAGAAAAGAACGCAAATTCTCACGACATCAAAAATCATGTGGCGCACTCTGGAGCAATTTCAATGTTCGGGAACACACCAGCATGATGTTATTGCCGGGTCTTGTAGAGCCGGCCGCCTGGGTCGTATGTCAGTGTCCAAGTACTCAGAAATGTATACCGCAGTTTTTGGAAGACGTCTAGGACGAGCCATCAGGTGCAGCCTCCAAGTGAAAGAAGTTGCCGTATCCGATGACGAGTTGGCCGCCAGTTTGCCCGAAGGAGCATTCAACACTGAATCAAAGTCGGATGATCTTCCAGAGCCGAAGCGCCGGAGATTGTCTGGGAAATATCCACCAGAACAGTTGTTCGCTCCTGAGTCACCCGAGCCATCCGGACCTATGCTGTCAGAGCCCAGTGAATCACTGCACCGTGCCAAACTGAACCAGATTCTTCACCTCGCCGAACAATGTGCACCAAGGGTTGGTAAGGTAGTGATTCAGGATGGACCTTTGTTTCAACATGTTCAAGAGCTGTTTCCTGACAAACAAGTGATGGTCTTGGACATTTGTCGGGGGAGTAATCGCATGCGCACATGTCCCACTGGAACGAAAGGTTATGCACCTTTTCGCAGAGCCATTGGCAAGCGTAGGTCCGATCCGATCTGTCTCCGTTCTGTGATGACGAGTGGGAACACTGGGAGGCTTTGTCCCATCGACAACAGATCCGCAATGGGACTCCCTCCAAAATTTTGATCACTGTGTTTGCATCCAGTAAGCGTTCAGAACAGCCAGAAGAAACCGTGCCTACTCCCATGCCTGCCATCAAAAAGGTGAGATTTGAGGAACCCGACATAGACCAGGAAGTGCCACCAACTGAGACCGATTCCAGAATAACCGACACTCCAAATTCCAAGATTGAAGAAACACCTACAACTGTCAAATACAACCCCAAATGTTACACGCATGGTCCCAAATTTCAGGCCTTAGATCCCGAAATTCAGAACCAGATCCGAAAGATACACCAAAATCTGGGCCATCCAGATAACAGAGTGCTGCAACTGGCCCTGAAACGCTATGGGTGGACAGATGCAGATGTCCGTGGCTGCGCTGATTTTGTGTGCCCTGCTTGTTTCGAGAAGAAACAACCAAAAGTTTCGAGGCCAAGCCATTTGCATGAGCCGAGGGATTTCAATGACTTGGTTTCGTTTGATGGTGCAGAGTGGACTGACCCCGATGGAAAAACATACTCATTTTTTCACTTCATTGATTCAGCAACCAACTTTCATACCGCCATTGCATATCAACAAAGAACTACTGAATCCCTGATACATTCCTTCAACAACGCCTGGGTCAGATGGGCTGGACCACCAAAGAAACTGATGTTCGACAGTGCCACAGAATCCAATAGCGAGGAATTTTCTCGATACCTGCAGCAACAGGCTATCCAGAGCTACGTCATTCCGACTGAGGCTCACTGGCAACTTGGCCGTGCAGAACGACATGGAGCAATCTTGAAACACATGATAGATCAATATCATGCCGATATTCCTATCAAAAATCATGAGGACTTTGAACAATGTTTGATACAATTGTGCAATGCAAAGAACTCCATGTCTCGTCACGCAGGATACACGCCAGAGTTGTGGGTACTTGGGAAGATGAAACCCCTGCCGGGGAACAACATCTCAGCTCCTCTGGACAGTGCCAGCTTCGCAGGATTAGATGAAGAGACCACCGAAGGAGAAAAATTTCATCTTCTACTAGCCAAACGCGAAGCTGCGAGACTGGCTTTCGTCCGTGCTGACCATAGTGCCTCACTACGGAGAGCCCTGCATGCTAGGTCACGACCAGACCGAACCAGTTTTTCTGTAGGTGACTTAGTAATGTACTGGAGGGCTGGTAAAGGGGTAGAAGAGGGCAGTTGGAGAGGCCCGGCCAAAGTGCTGATGATTGAGAGTCAGAACCTGGTTTGGCTGAGCCATATGACCCGTTTATACCGCTGTGCGCCTGAACATGTTCGTGTGTTGTCGGAAGATGAGGCGAAGTCACTTACTTCCGAAGACCATCAGATGTTTGAGTTGCCCAACAGATGCGGTAACGGTGTCTTTCAGTTCCGAGAACTGTCCCAGCAGAGTGCACCACCACAAAGACCATCTTATGACAGCCAAGGAACCCAAAGACATAACCCCGATACAGTAATTGTTCAAGATACTCCCAATGAACCACCAAATAACTCTCCCATGACCCGCACTGTAACTCCGAGCGTAGGACAGCCTGATGCCGAGCCCGGTAGCAGTGAAATGCCAATTGCACCACCAGCACTGGAAAATCCCATAGATTTCAATGGTCCTGTAGAAGTACCTGTTCCCAATGAAGATGAAGATGAGGACTGCTTGAATCTACAAAGGGATTATGACTTTTGGGAATTCCGGGAACAAAGCGTCATTCGACACCACCGTAACCCCCGAATTCACATGTTTTTTCCAACAGATCCCTGGGAAATCCCATTTGACTTGGAGGACCTCACAGATGACCGACAAACTAAGGGTCAATTCCTTTCAGGGAGCACTTTTGAAAGACATGAATCATGGAGGAACAATGTGGCAGCTCATCACCCTGCGCCTGAGCCATGGACAGGAACAACCATTTTTCACTTGAAGAATCCACCTAATCCCATACCCAATAATCAATCCACGTCAGATACCTGTAACCTCATTAATAAACCACCCACTGTTAACCAATACGAAATTCTACTCACCATGGATGAGGTGCAAAAATGCCTGGGACGCACATATGAGGGCCAAGAAGCTTTCCTGGCGTCTGCCGCAAAACGGCAGAAGGTTGAGGTCAAGCTGCGCGATCTGTCCCCAGAGGAACTAGAACTGTTTAAGAAGGCTAAGGCCAAAGAGATAGATTCTTGGTTGTCAACAGACACAGTCCGCAGAATTCTCCGAAATCAAGTGCCCGAGGGACAGCTCCTCCGTTCCAGATGGGTCCTGACATGGAAATCGCTTGACACCGTCGAGCAAAAGGAAACAGGACTCAGCCGCAAACCGAAAGCCAGGTTGGTCATCCTAGGATTTGAGGATCCCATGATAGATTCATTACCACGAGACTCACCAACTTTGGGAAAAGATTCACGCATGCTCGCTCTCCAATGTATTGCCAGTCACCGTTGGAATGTAAGATCATTTGACATCAGAACGGCTTTCTTGCGAGGTAGCAGGCAGGATTCACGAATCTTGGGTGTTGAACCTCCCCCCGAATTACGTCTCAAGATGAATCTAAGGGATGACGAGGTGTGCGAGTTGCTCAAAGGAGCTTATGGCTTAGTGAATGCACCCCTGCTTTGGTACTGTGAGCTGAAGAACGCCTTGCTTGGACTAGGATTCACGATATCTCCCATGGATCCATGCCTTTTTGTTTTGCCAAAGAAATCCAATACTCAGTCCGATGAAACCAAAATCCATGGTGTGTTGGGAGTTCATGTGGATGATGGTCTGGGGGGAGGCGACGCCACGTTCAATCAAGCCATCAAAATGCTGGAAAAACGATTCCCCTTTGGAAGCCAACGCCAAGGATCATTTACCTTCACGGGGATTAATCTGACACAGGATCATAATGGGGATATAACTCTAAGTCAAAAAGAGTATATCAATGACATTCCACCGATCAATGTAACCCGTGAACGCAGACATCAGTTGGACTCCTCAGTAACATCTCAAGAGTTGCAAGACCTTCGGGGATTAATTGGAAGTTTACAATATGCTGCTTCGAATACTCGTCCCGACTTGTCATGTAGATTGAGCCTTCTTCAGGCAAGGATCACTTGTGCCACAGTAGCAGACTTACTTCATGGCAATAGGCTGCTCATGGATGCCAAGAGAAACTCTGACACCACAGTGCGAATCCAATCGTTGGATCCTCATAAGATCAGATTTCTGTCCTTTTCAGATGCTGCTTTCGCCACGAGAGAGAAGGCTCACTCACAGAAAGGTTGTTTAATCATGGCAACGACCGATGAGGTGAACGAAGCAAGATCAGCACCGGTAAGTCCCTTACTGTGGTTTTCGAAAAAGATCAACCGTGTGGTATCGAGTACTTTGGCTTCAGAAACGTTCGCACTGTCCGGTGCTTTAGATCTTCTGAGCTGGACAAGAATCCACTGGGCATGGATCTTAGACCCTTCGACACCTTGGAAGACCCCAGAAATAACTCTCAAAGGATTACCAGCCGCATTTTCAGTTGTTGACTGCAAAAGCTTGTACGATTTACTCCAAAAGACCTCGATTCCTCAATGTACAGAACATCGCACGACTCTAGAAGCACTCGTGATTCGAGAGCGTCTCCAGGAAGGTGTCATTGTCAAGTGGGTCCATTCAGCTGCTCAAATGGCTGATTCACTTACAAAGGACATGGACACTTCCGTTCTTAGGGCTTTCTTGAAGCATGGTAGGTGTGTGTTGCATGATGCAGAGGAAATTTTGAAACAAAGAGCCGATAAGAAGATCCGCCATCAGTGGTACGAGCAATCCAGAACTGAGAAATCCACTTTGCACGCATTTGCACTGGCAGTTTTGAACTGAACCTGATCAAGTCCGAAGTGTGTTGTCAGGTGAAATAATCCGAAGCCCAAGTGCTTAATTCATAAGCTGCGCTGTATCAATGACTTGTTGGTCCTCTGGACAACTTGGGACAGAACCTGGGATGCCTAGTGAAACCTTCAACTTTGCTACAAAAGAAATATTTAAAAAGAAAGATTTTTTAGGAGTGTGTTTTCCGACCCATACTTCCATTGTCATGTGCAATCCTTGATGCTCTGGGTCCTGACAACGTGTTGTCTGCATGCAGCCATAGGAAGGGAGACACTTGTTCCATCAGTGGAAATCTTGGCTCGGGGGGCCGTTAGAGGGCTTTTGGTACGGCGTGGGCGCCGTGGACGTTCAACTTGTCGCAGCCATAGAAAAGGCGCTTGGTGTGCTCAGGAGGGCACTTGGTTGAGATCATTTGGAAATAGCTACCTTTGCAGGGACTCTGCAATATATATATATATACATACATATCATATATATATATCATATATATATATATATATATACGTGTATATATAAAATCTGATGGGTAGTCAGTAGTGGCAACTATCGCAGCCTATTTCAGTGAAGTCCTATGACTTGATATGTTTTACCTATCCACTGGTTCCAGGCAGGTCATCGGGCTTGGAAGATGGTCTCCCAGACATCACAAGTTTGATGCAATTTGGGCAAGTGAATGTCGTGAGTTTCCCCATGTTCAGACAAACATAGAACCCACAGTTCAGAAGTTCTGACATGGTGATGGATCGGCTGATGTTTGATGATATTTTGGCTCCTGAGACTGGTGCTGCACCAGACTGGTTCAGGTTCTTCTGAGAGCACAAGCAGAGGCTAGGATGCTGACGATGCTGACGGGATCTGACGGGCAGAAATGCTTTGGGGAGATGTTTCCGAAAAAACTGAAGGATCTGTGTATTTATAGGAAAATCGTTGATCTTTCAAGTTTGTGGGGCAGAAGATGGGGGATGCAGGTGTCGCCGGCCCATCCTGTCAGTGGCATGTTGGGCGCCTCAACGATGACCACACGCTTTTTTTTTTTGCGATGAATTCAAGGGGTGAACATCGAAAAATCCCAGCTATTCTGACTGTACTGTACTCGTAGCTATTTTCAAGTGAATAGAAAAGTGAAACATCGATGATGAAGTGAACCATTTTCTGTAGGCATTGTAGCCTTTTTTGGGCTAAGGGTTATGTTTCTGCTTTGGGAATACTGATCGTTTGATATGTTGCCGAGATCCAATGCGGATGCAACGATGACATACTCGAAAAACGCCAATCTCAATGTGTAGATCACTGAGAGGTTACGGAGATGCAATGCTTAAATTTTGGGAGCTCGGAAGAATTCGGAAGCCAGAAAGTTGCCAAAGTCTGATGTGGCGACAATTGAGTCACTCCAGCATCTACAATTTGTCTATGATTGTGCATGTGTAATAACTCTCCTTGGCTTTATCAGGAAACTGAGTGGATTGCCTCATGGTCAATCAGGCCCCAGGAATCCAAAGTCAAAAACTCCAGGAAATCAAAAAGGAAGTGCTGTAGCTTCCAAAACCCATGTTCAAATGATTTTCACAAGGCGTACCCTCTGGTAAACTAACATAGCTATGGAAAATCACACTGTTGCTTATATTTCAAAGAGGTAGATCAACTATGATCATTTTCAGGAGCTACATATTAGATGTTTACCATGGGTAAACCATGGTAAACTAACATAGCTATTGAAAAATGCCATGTATAGTGGATTTTCCCATCAAAAATGATGATTTTCCATAGCTATGTTAAATTACCAGAGGGTAAACCATGGGTAAACCTATCAATGCCTTTGGAGTCCACTTAAGTTTTACACAAGGACACCTCTGATGCTCAGTGCTGAAGCCGGCATGGCGGGCAAGCCTGGTGGATTGCTATGGATTGGGTACTGGGATCTTGGGGGTTATCATAAGCCTTTTTGGAAAACCCTTTAAAGCCAAACTTAGTATACCCTCTGCAGCCATGGTACACATACAAAAAGCTATTGAACATGGCCATAGAAATAGTGGATTTACCTATCGAACATGGTGATTTTCCAGTTCGTTATGTGGCTGTTTACCAGAGGGTAGACCATATTGGGGAACGGAACAAACATTGCGAAGACCTATGGCAGTGGGGGCTTTTGCGATCTATCCAAGATGTGTCAGCCTGGCAAGGTATCTCAACGATGGTTGTGGCATGTTGTGGTTGTTGAGCAGATGATGCGCTTAAGCAACTTTAATTCGTACATACACAGCAAACAACAATCAATGTGTATGTTTGAACTGTAGCGGCTTTCCCGACATGTTCGCTGGTTTTTTACTTGATGGTTTCATTACATTTCAGCCATCAAACGCTGAGGATAAAGCCCTGCGGATGTTGTTGTCGAGCGGTGCATCTCAGGCAGAGTTGCAGGTTGCTGATCCCCAGTTTGCCTCAAATGCGAAATCCCTCTAGGTAATCTCTGGTCATCTCTCGTACTATGTTACAGTTTTCTATGGAAACCCACAATGTTTTTTTTTGCGAACCATCTAAACCATAACCAATTGTGAAATTGGCGGATGGTAATGCGTTTCACGCGGGTTGAAGCATATTGAACCCACCTATACTGGTGGAAACATGATCACGCCGCACCTTTGGGCTTCAGTGTCTACTAGAAAACCGATCTCAGCTTTTTGCTCGCGGCCAACGCGTTGCCGGATCCTTCGGGCCGACAGAGGGGGTCCGACTTTTTTACCGGCGGCCGTGGGTCGTGGAGCACCTGTCATTTTACATCACCTTACCGCGTAGGAAGCTTTGCAATGTACCGGACGCTCGCTCTGGCGGCTTTGGCTTTGACAACCATGGCCGAGCCGCTGGAGATCTTAAACTCGCCACGCGTTGAACGCTTTACTAGTACGCTGCTGGGCATGGACCAATGGAAGGTGAAAGTCGGCTCCATGAAAACATGGGAAATGATGGAAATGTATGGAAATGTATGGACATGATCTCCGGAACTCGTATACTCATTCTGATGTTGATATGGAGGTTTCCTGAAATAGGGGTACCCCCAAATCATCCATTTTAATGGTATTTTTCTACTATAAACCATCCATTTTAGGGTACCTCCATTTATGGAAACACCTATGTTTTGATGATGGGGTCTTGGTCCTATGTCTTGCTGGTCCTGGATCTTGCAGCGAGACAATGAAAGTGGTGTTACCCCGCTGACACCAGTCACTGTGGCCGTCCCAATCAAGACAAATCTCAGACGATTGAGGTTGAAAGCATCATTAACCCATCATTAACCCATCATGACCCATCATTATATAACCATCATTAACCATCACTAACCATCATTAACCACTGGATCGTCACGAGGTTGAAAGAATCTGCTCAACCCATTCCATTGGTTGGGAGTTGCGACTCCAATCAGTCCCTTTGCTCCCAGGATCGCGGGGTTTGGGGTTGCCGCCGCTGCTAGCGCCCAAAGATGCAGCAAATCCAACACATCCAGTTGTTGAAAAGTTTGCAACACATCTAACAAATCCAGTTGGCAAAATGTTATACATATCCGTATACAAATCCATATAATCATATTTAAGGGCTGCCGCCCCTGCCGCCGACCCCGGAAGAATTGGCAAGCCGTCAGAACGTATATATGGTACAGGCCTGCACCCCCCCCCCAAAAAAAAATGGGGAAAGGATGTTTCTGGGACAGTTTTACACGCATTGTTGCCTGTTATGGTTTTTATGTTAAAGGGGAACGTGCGTTCCTTGGTGTTGATGTTTTTTGTGATGTATGTTGTAAGACATTTTGGGTAAAAACGTTCCATCCTAACCTCGTTGATTATTTTAGGGGAGTATCATTGATTGGGTCAGGATTTGTTGAGGTTTTTAGGGTTTTAAAGTTTTCATTTATTCAACTAAGATTTGAAAAGAAGGGAATGTATCATTAAGATTGTCTATTATTTTTTGATGACTTAACGGTTCTTTCACTTCTTCATTGTTTGATTGTTTTTGTGTTTTTCCATTATCTTTTTGTTTTTGACCGGAATTGTTGGTTTGTGCTCATGGTTTTTTCTTTCCATTTCTTTTTAGGATGGTGTGTCTGACCACCCTTGCGTGAGTCGTAGGCTTCGCAAGGAAAAAGGCACATCGTAATAATTGGGTTTGTGAAATGGAAAGAAAAAAACATGGGCCCAAGCCAGTAGCATCAGCAGCATCATTAGCTTCAGCATCAGAATATATATATATTGTTATCACTGTTACAATTAAATTATTATCAGTATTTAGTAGATGAATTTGGTGAAAACATGGGGGGTTTTGATCTTGTGATCGTCCTGGTGGTAGCTACAGGCAAAAAGAATTTAAGGTACTGTATCACATCATCCTATTTGAGTTGGCATGTTTGTTGACTTACCCATTTTTCAGGTTCTGCATGGGGTTCATCCCGGTATGGTGTTGGTGCATCCCAGCTCGTAGCAGCAGTGTTTCCTATGGTTTTGCAGCGCTTGTCTTGGCGATGGACTGCTTCGCCCTCTACTCGAAGGAGGGCCGGGTGAGCGGTGGATTTTGAACGGCAAGATGTGTGATTTTTTGCGAAGCAAAATGGGGAATAAACAGAGATACGATGATCTGGTTGGTGCGTTGGAACATGAATTTTATTTTCCATATATTGGGAATTTTACAACCCCAACTGACGAAGGCAGGAACACCTTATCGATGCACGCAGTGCGGCCTGTGGCACGCTGTAACACACTTTGCGTCAAAGCACCACAATCCACGGTGGAGCATGTACCGCGTTTGTCTATCATGCTTTGCGAAGAAACAATGTTGTCTGTGTCAGAGAAAGCAGACGCGCGAATCTTTTAGCTCCGCCGCGTGGAATGCAAGGAATCTAGAACGAAGACTATGTTTGCAATGCCAAACAAAGACACGTGGACAGTGGGTCTGTGCAGCATGCAAGAAACGAAAGCCAATGTTGCAGTTTGCTATATTTTGCAAGCAACGACTGTCCAGCCAAAATGGCACACAAGTATGCGACGCATGCCATGCAATCACAGCGCAGGCGACCATGCGCAAACGCGCCGCAGCAGCCAGTACAAAGCGTTTGGAACCTCTGCGCAAAAAGCTTCGCCAGCGACAAATTCTCCGTGAGACATGGGAAGCAATCGCCGAGCACAGAAACAAACGCACTAGTGCCACGTCAGCGGTGGCCCGACTGGAGCCTCTTCGCAAGCGACTCCGTCGCCCGCAGGAAACGATTACACGACAACAAGGCGCGCACCAGCAACCTGGTGGAAAAGATTTTCCGCTGCAGGCTGTGTCAGTAGCCAATCAGGAGTCTAAGCGCTACCAGTACACGTGCCCATTCTGTACAGTTGCTGTGGCCAGCACAGTGAAAACTGGTCAGGTTGATCACCGTCATGCGTGTGGCAATGAGTTTCGTGTTCATGCTGGCGTTGTGTCAGGTCGCGTCCACAAACACGCATGCCCTAGATGCGGGACTATCGTATTGTCATCGGCGGCAGCCGGACGAATTCAAGTAAAACACAAAACCCCTGCTGGCAAGACTTGCAGCCAAGAAAGATGGCAAACCCATCAGTGATGATTTGCACGGTCAAACATTCCTGAAGGACGAACGAGTCCGAGCACCTGCTGCTGCTGCCACTGCACAAAGACACGGCCAAACGTTGAACGAGTCCGAGAATCCCACCGAAAAACTTCTAACTGCTGCTAGTCCTGCTGCTGCAACTGCTGCTGCAGGCCTCCAAAACGTACCCTTCGCCACACCGAAACACCATGGCCCTGAAGGACGAACTAGTCCGAGAAGCGCACTCAAAAAAGGTCTAACGTTGCTTCTGAAACTCTAAATCGGCGCTCAGACACGGCCAAACGGTGCTGCTGCTGCTGCTGCTGTTGCTGCTGCTGCTGCTGCTGGTGCTGCTAGTCCTGCTGCTGCAACTGGTGCTAGGGCCCTGAAGCACGAACTAATCCGAGAAGCCTACCAAAAAAGTGTCTACCGTTGCTTCTGAAACCCTAGAAACAGAACAGAAAATCGGTGCTCAGACACGGCCAAACG